GTGCATTTAACGGCAAATGAAACTTATAGAGCAGGAGGATTTCCCCAGGATTTCTTGCTTGCACATCATTTCCCCACAGAATAACACGGACGTCTTTTTTCTTCTTCTTGTTGTTGTTGTTGTCGTTTACCGCCCAACGGCCCTGTACATATCAGGGGCCGCACACGCCCAATCTTACTTACAACCGCCACTTTAGGCCACTAGTTAAACTGGCGCACATGCTGGCACGGCAGGTTGTTGTGCCGTCTATTACATGTCATTTTGTCAGCAATATTACTACCGAGGAAAGACTCCGACATTGAGGCTGCAAAGCACGTGTTTATGTACTTTTTCTATGGGAGAGTGAGTGTGGCGGCTGATTTAGGTCGCCGCTTGGTGGGGCATCCCCCAGCTTTCCCCGCATCGGCTGCTTAGCACGGGTATGCCAGTCCACTCAACTCCAACTCGGCAATTGGACACTCACGGCACGATAATCGCGAAGTCGTCTTATTTCCCAAGTACCGTACCCTCTAGAATGTATTTGGGGGCGCTCGCGTCGACTTTGTAGCCAGTGGCATGTGTCCATGCATCTGCCGTGTCATGGCTTGTCATCCGCTCGGCCCTCCATTCGGTCTAACTCGATATTGACCAATCACCAAAACTAACTAAGCATTCGAAGCTCTCGGTGAATCCAGACCTTATGAAAACATGACCGAATGTCAAATATATGTATACTGTTCGCAGTTGTCTGATACATGCATCCTGTTCGCAGTTTCACAGGTGCGTTGAACTGGCTTACTGCATCTTTCATTTCATCACATATTCCATCACATATCGCAGAAGACGGCACGACCTGACCACTGGGTGCCCCCCCCACACCAACCTCCCAAAAGGCCGCGTTGGCTCTGCAAGGCACCGTCTTTGGGCTTTCAACGAGTTTCAACTTATTTCCGTTCGCCAATATCGACATTTCATCCGGAGTTGATTGCGGCGTAATTCTTTCCCGTATCTGTCAGCTGCGGCCCGTCTAGTGGTACCGGGGCAGTAGTAGTGCTTAATTGGACCATAACCTTTTGAAACAACTGGCCTGCAAACAAAGTCCTCACCTCCCCAATCAACCGTCAAGAACAAGGTGCCTCGAACAGCGCTCACGCAACCCTATTGCCACCTCGATTGTGTGAAGGTTCAGACCGGACTCCGCCATCATGGCGTCTCGCGACTATAATGAAGATGTAAGATTTCTATTCTTAGTTTGTTATTGTTGAGTGCATTACTGACAGTGTTCAGGAGCGGCATCAACTCGAGGAAGAGTTGCATACCGAGATTCTCCCCGGTACGGAGGTCATGGCTGATGTCGGCTCACACCACTTCGTCAAAGGCGACCATGCCGTAGTCTTGGTTCCGCAGCCTAGTGATGATCCAAACGATCCGCTCAACTGGAGCCCCGCGTGGAAGGCGGCTACAATCGCATCGGTAGCCGTAGCTACATTCTCTCAAGGATTCGGTCCATTGGCTCTTTCGCCTATGTTCCCTGCCCTTATGAAAGCTTTTGATACAGACTTGGCTGGAGCTGTTCAATTCACGGGCGTGTGTATTCTTGTCCTGGGTTTCAGTAATTTTATCTGGTGAGCGTCCCGATTCCCCGTCAACTTTGTGTGGTGGCTAACGGGTGTTACGTCAGGGTCCCCATAAGCTCCTCTTTCGGTCGTCGTCCCGTACTCCTTTTGTCGCAGCTCATCAACTTTGGCACATCGATATGGCGCGCAAAGGCAAACTCTTACGGCGCATTCATGGGCGCGTGTATCGTCAACGGTATCGGTGCAGGCCCTGCAGAGACCACCATGCCTGAGGTCATTGCCGACATATTCTTTTTGCACGACCGTGGCAAGTGGAACACCCTATACTGGGTAGTGTATATGGGCTCACTCATGGTCGGCCCGATCGTGTCTGGCTCCATGGCAGAGACAGTCGGGTGGCGCGACTTTTGGTGGCTAAACGCCGCCCTCTTGGGTTTCTCGTTCCTCATGTGCGTCTTCGCGTTTCCGGAAACAAGATACAGGCGTGCTGCACCCGTGCAAGAGGGCCAAAAGAAGACACCTTCTCTGGAGGAGAAAATCAAAACATCCACTCAAAAGGAGATTGGCAATTCGGACACAGAGCAGGATGCCAACGATATCCAGAGAGCTGAGACTGCCATCTCGACTGCTAATAAGGACCTCACCATGTCCGAAACCGAACGGCGCGATCCGCATCTCGGCAAGGGTAAACCTGCTAAGTGGCAATGGAGGATATTCCAACCAAACGCGAACCCTTTCCGCACCATCTTTCTTGAGATCTGGGTTCCGTGGAAACTTTTTACTTTTCCCATTGTAGAGTTTGCTGCTTTCGTTGCCAGCTGGTCATGTTCCAGTTTTCTTACCCTCAATCTCACGCAAAGCCAAGTGTTTGCCGCACCGCCGTACAACTTCAAGCCTGTATCTGTTGGTTTCACCAACTTTGCTGTTATGGTCGGTGCTATCATTGGCCTCTTCACTGCTGGACCACTAAGTGATTGGGTGTCGCTACGAAGCACAAGGAGGAACAATGGCATCCGTGAGCCCGAGATGCGATTGCCAGCTATGATTCCCTACGTCATCATCATGCTTATCGGAAACATTGTCGTCTCAATTGGGTATGAGCGCAAGTGGGCGTGGGAAGTCATTGTCATTGTTGGATATACATGCGCTGGTATCCAGGTCGCTGCTTTGCCAGGTATCGCCACCACTTATGCCGTTGACTCGTACAAGCCTGTAGCAGGATCAATCTTCGTTGCAGTAACAGTCAACAAGAATCTTTGGGGTTACGGAATGGGAAAATTCATTACTCCCTGGTCTATTGACGATGGGTAAGTTCAGCAACTTCTACTGTATTGATAGCATTTACTAACGGCCCCAGCTTCATCCCGCCTATCATGACTAACGCAGCTTTGATTACACTTTGGTGTTCATTTGGTATACTCTTCTGGTGGAAGGGCAAGACTTTCCGTCGCTGGACAAGGAACAGCAGCGTCCACCAGCATGAAGCTTTGTAATGCGCACTAGACTTCTACTACCCTCGCAACCATGTCTTCCCTAGCCGACTGTTGCACAAACCCATAGCCTTCTACAAATAATAGACCTCCCCTGAACTATTCAAGCAAAGAAGTCAACCTCTCCTATCCAAGCGACTTCAACTCCTTCTTCACACTGCTCCCTGTAGGCACCCTCGTCGTATCATCCCCAATCCACCCGCACTCCTCCGCCTTCCCCTCCAACCCCTCCCAATCCATCATTTCCAAATCATCCAACGTATCATTATTCCCCCTCAACCACTGCCAATGCATCAACACAAAACACACTGTACTCTTCACCCTCCCATCACTCCACCCCTCCACCTCCTCATCCCCAAGCATAAGATACCCATCCAACACCGTAACATGATGCCTCATGCGATCCCTTACACTCTGCGACGCATACCCCCCCACCGGTCCCGCAAGTAAAGTCGGAATCACATTCAACAGCAACGGCCTCCGATACGGATACCGCGGCGACGCAACACCGACGACAGGCTCCGGCGCCACGAACCCAGGCACCGGCACCACCGACGCCACCGTAACCGGCTGCTCGCGATACGACGCGGGATTCGGTTCCATCTTCCACTCACGCAGCATATCGTACCTTAGCAAAAGCCGCATCGCAAGCTGCTTCTTGCGGTCGTACAGTTGCTCCAGCATCGCTCTATTCTCGGCGATTTGCTCGGGCAACAGTGTGCGTGTGAGAAGGAATAGGAGCTCCGTCATCAAGTATCGGGAGTGAAGCGATGTTGCTGTTTCCAGGGCCGAGAGGATACCGATCCAGTCTGTGTGAGGGGAGACGGGCTCGAGAAGTGCGGTTACGAGAGGTGTCACGCCGGGGATTGCGGCGTAGAGTTGGCCAAAGGCGAGGATTGCATCGAGGCTTGTTTCTAGGGACCCGGTGAAGGGGGAGGGGACGCTGGGGGCGAGCGAGTAGTATGCTGGGAGCTTGGTGGTGGTGGTGGTGGTGGTGGTGACTTTTTGGGGCGTCTGAGGTGGTTGAGAGGGTTGCGAGGGTGGGTTGCTGGCTGGGGGGGATAGGTCTCGTGGTGGGATTACGCGGCGGCCGAAGCGGGTTGTGACTGGTGATGGTGCGGAGGCGTCGATGGCGGGTGAGGGGCGAGGCGGTTTTGGGAGTAAGGGTCGTGGCATTTTGAGTTGGTGGTAAATGATGTAATGGGGGGAGAGAAATAAAAGATCTGTTACCTTTGTAGTAAAAGTGTGTGTGTGAGTGGTAGTGTAGCGGGTGAAGGATTGAAGTGACGATTGAGGTGAAGGCGGGAAGTGAATGTGGGTGTTTGATGTAGCTACTTCCTTCTCAATTCACTTGCACTGTCCTAATCGCTGAGAACCAACAATGAGATTGTAGGAGCTACTATGGAACTCGTTTCCCTGTTATGTGTTACTACGTCCGCATACAGCATATTCACCAAGGCATTTGCATCAGTTCTGTAGCCGCAACTCTGGTCAATAAAAGTCAGTATGTGCAGATTCAGTAAAGGACGTCACGCAAGATCTCAGTAATTCATAAATACCATGTTGCAGCGGGCGATATAGGTTCACTATGCAAAATTTCACTGAACGAAATGGCCAAGTCGATTGGCGTACTATATCAGACGATCAAGTTGTAGGTAATAGTTCTTGACTTCAGTTTCATGGCCTATAAAATGGGAAAATAAATTGATAATACAATGCATTATTCTCAAATAGCGAAAGGACCTTTATGTAGTCTACCATATGCGATTACATATCAATGCACCAGTTGTTCTCTACAGCTAGCCCTTCATCAAATCAGAGGCGCGAAGCGAGAAAATGAATCAAGGCTTTTTGTCTTCGTCATTTTCAAACATCAAATACCGATCTAACCTGCTACACATAGATACGAGCTTTGAATATTGAATGCGAACATCACTGTTTGCACAGCTATGTTCTAGGGAACATGTTTGGAATACGAAACTCTTCGAACAGTAACTGGATATTTCTCGTCATGTAAGGCGAAGCGATTGATTGGAGACAAATTCAGTTGACAATTGAGAAGTGTAAATAACGGTGTGTACGCTTTTGCCGCTGAAGAGACACATTTGCTAACCAAGTGTATCGTTACTGAATCTTCCACGAGCTGTGCTGACAACCTTTCGTGTATGCAATCAAACCAAACATTCTGGAATAATTGCTCACAGCGGCATACAAAACGAACAATAAGGATTTTGACAAAGTATAATACCACATTACAACTTAGAATGATATTCTTAAGCCACTAATCCGAGTCCATTTCCAATTTTAACCTAAAACGCATCGCTATATGTACAAAAAACACAATCTACCTCTCCTTCAGCAAATTCTCCGCAACATCTCTGAGTACAAACTTCCTAATCTTGCCACTACCCGTCAGCGGAACCTCAGCATCGCAATCCTCTCCCAACCAAAAGATATGCACGGGGGCCTTATGCCTACCCAGCACTTTCCTGACCCAGCCCTGTACGTCAGCAAGATCAGGTTTCGGCGTATCTGTCTCGCGAAGCAAAAACGCCACAGGAACTTCCACCAAGCGGGGATGCGAAACACCAACGACAATCGCACGTGCGATAGACGGGTGTTCAACAAGCCGCTCTTCAATCTCAAGAGGATATATATTCTCGCCTCCTATTTCACACACATCAGCACTTCTCAGTACATAGAAAGGACAAAAGACAAAAACGTACCTCTAATGATAATATCCTTGAACCGCCCCGTAATCGTACAATACCCATCGACATCCAACACCGCCTCATCCCCAGTATGCAACCACGGCTCGCCATACTCATCGTTGAAAATAAGCTCAGCCGTCTTTTCCGGGTTCTCCCAGTAACCTCTACAAACCTGGTATCCAGCGACGCAAAGCTCGCCTCTCACGCCAATGGGCACAACGCGGTCGTTGCGGTCTACAATCTTGACTTTGGCATGCGGCAGCACGGTGCCGACGGTAGTCAAGCGGGCATGCAGCGAATCCGTAGTATGAGCATTGAACACGGTTGGACTTGCCTCTGTGAGTCCGTACGAGGATGTAAAGTCCGTCATGCCGAGTTCGGAGACCATGCGCTCCATGAGCCATTTGGGGACGGGGCTACCGGCTACGATGCCGGTGCGTAGTTTGCTTTGCCAGCCCGCGGGGCGCGGGACGTCCATTATGGATTCCATCATTGCGGGGACGCCGTGGAGCGCGGTGCAGTTCTCGGTGGAGATGGCGTGCATGCAGGCGATGGGGTCGAAGGCTTCGGCTGGGAAGACGATGGTGGAGCCGTGGGTTAGGACGGCAAGGACACCGAGGGTGAGGCCGAAGCAGTGGAAGAGGGGAGGTGGACAGCAGAGGGTGTCCGAGGGGCTGAGTTGCATGCGGTCGCCGATGAAGCGGGAGTTGTTGATGAGGTTGCTGTGATGTGAGTTTGTTAGTTTGGCTGGGCATACATCGAAGCGTGTGGAGGAAAGAAGAAGGGAAGGGAGAAGACTAACTAGTGTGTTAACATGGCTGCTTTTGGCTTGCCTGTGCTTCCACTGGTGAACTGTAGGTTTGCTACGTCATGAGGACTTATTATGCCGTCAAAGATGTCGAGGATGTGCTCGGGAATGTATTGAGCGTTGTCGATGAACGAAGAGTAAGTGGTAAAGGAGTCATTTTGACCTCGTATTAAACATACGGTCTTGAGATCTGGGAGAACTGATGCTATGTCTTTTTGACTCAGTCTTTTCAGTAATGGGATGTTGTCGAATCGGGCAATGTTAGGGGTAGTGAATAGAATTCTGCACTCTGCTTTCGTTAGCCTTCCCAAAAGATTTCTGGGATTAATGTTTGGAAAAAAGACGTACTTGTATGCTTCAAAGCAAACTCCATCTCCGTTGCAGTATAGGTATTGTTGAGAGTGACGCATATCGCACCGACTCTTGCACAGGCAAAGAATAATGAAATGTACTTTTCACAGTTCCCGCTCATGATACCTATCCTATCTCTTGGTCGAACTCCTTCTTTCAACAATGCTCTGGCCAACAAGCTTGATTCTGCCCATAGTTTCTGGTACGTCCAACGCGCACCAGTCCATGGTATGACGACAGCTTCGTTGCTGGGGTAATGTGCGGCTTGTTGTTGGAGTAGTTGAGAGAGTGTTAATTGAACCAGTGGCGGGTCGAGGGGCCCTGTGACGATGGAAAGGTTGGGATATGGTGGAAGATCGTAAGGGTCGATCTGGAGAAGTGTTTGGTTGAGACGGTGCAAAGCGTCGTTTCGAGATTGGTCGTAGATTTCCGCCATTATGGCTCGGGGTTCTTACTGGTTCTTGCTATAGCAAAATATTGGTAGCATAACAAGCAATAATGGCCAAGGGGTCAAGAAGAAGTGAACTGTTCGATAGCAGTTGCGATGAATGGGATCAATCAACTGGGAACATAGGCAATGGAACACAAACGACGTGAGATACCGAAAAGAAGCCGTGTCGTATGGCACTTGGAAGCAATCGAAAGACTGATGCCAACCCCTCAAGGCACTTTCTGGTCCAATTTGCCCCCGGTAGCAACGAGGGTGATGATGAGTATTTCGCCGATTGCTCGGATCTAAGGACAAGAGCGGAATGAGCCATCCTGTGTGCCACATTTCCTGCGTCTTGGACATACACGCACAAGGGCGTTAGGCATTGCCCGGGTCGGATGATGCTTGATCCGGAGTAGTGTAGAGAGTACGAGAAGTATCGACATTACAGAGTCAAACGATCCACCAGCTTATCTCCTGCTCTTTCCGACACAATGCAACTAGCAGCGCCATGGCATGGCCCAGCATGGGTCTCCACATGATGGCGAGGACCCTATTTCGAAGGAAGGGCGATCGTCCAAAGCCGTCGTCAAGCCGCGCAGTTCTAGCCGCGCCTGGTGACAGCAAGGGGCGTGCTCATCCCTGTCGTCACAGCAGCCAGCGAAGGACCGCCTTTCATCTCATCTGATAAGATCAATTACCGCTCATGGCTGGTGCGATGTCGGTGAGCGTCGAATGGAATGCTTCAATAGTGGGCGCATTGACGTTGCAAAATTTTATCAGATCAAACGTAACTTTTTTATCAGATCAAAAGTTAGCGTCGCCACATGGGGTATTGCGTGGAGACAGGGTCGGCTGGGAAGACCGACTAGTGGCTGGGCGAACATCATGGAGCGTTATCAGATCCGCTGGCCTGCCTCATCAGGCATTGTCACGTCATGCTGGCGCTTCGAGTAAATTTTTTTTCTCGCGGAGCTTTGCACAAGTTGGAAACATCAAGTGGAGTGGCTATGCCCATTGGGTCTTGCCGGCTGCAATGCCGTTACGTCTTGCAATCCACCACCACACTCCCACACACCCCATCGTCGGATTAGTGCGCCAATATCCGAGCAATAAGGCCGCTCGGTTCTGCTCGCACGGCCAGTTCACACCCTCTTGTGGCGCTACGCACAGGACGGATCAGATAAAAATTTGCGGCTAAATGTCTGATCCGCATTTTGCATGTGGGATGCAGCGCGGGGGGGGGGGGGGCATGGCTGTCATCACATGTTTTGTGACGGACATGCAAATACTCTCTAATGTCGGGTATGAGTCGTCCCCTGGTACAGACGAAGCTACACATACTCTAGAATATGAGCATTCCGGAACTCAGGAGAAGCAGCATGCACGGATGGTGAGTGTTCCAACGATTGAATATTGTCGTGTATAGTATTGATTGATGATGTGTTATTATGAGATATCAAAGGGAAAAAGCGCTACGTGATCAATTACAATTTGGCACCTGCGTCGAGACTCGGCCTGACCTTCTTCTCTCCATCCCATGTGAATGGGCTCAGAGTGAAGAACTTCTCCCTGTTAACCATCATGAGTGCACTCCTTTTGTGCGGGAGGTCCATAAGCTTTTCAACGTGGAAACCATGGGCAAAGTCATAAGCCAGAACAGTACTGCTTGTGGCTGCCGGCTCTCCCACTAGGTTCCATGTGCGCGGCTCGTCAAGGAACATGTAGTGCATTAGGCCCGACCACCATGCAGAGACACGGTACGGGCCTCTGAATCTTACATCCCCTACCAAGGAGTGTCTTCCCCGATCGTACGGCGACGATTGGTAGTGGGCGCCCATGTGATCCTCCTATATGTTTGTTAGTACGTAATTACATGACGGCAAGCAGAAATAAACACCTACCATTGCCCAATAGACTTCAAAATAAGCAAAGAGAATATCGTCAAACGCGGCAAACATGGTGAGCACGTGGGGGTCCTCGTGCAGTTTGCGGAGATATTCGCGGTGCTGATCAAGGGTACCGGTCTCATTCCAGCCAGCAGCTACGCGTGGGTCATTCTGCCACTTGTTGAATAAGCGGAGATGCTCATCGTTGGTGTAGTCAAGAGCCACCATGGTAAAGTGTTCCTTCAAATGTGGTATCCATCGGCTATAGATGATAGACCCTGGCTCTGGCTTGGGCTCCCGAACAGGATGCATAGTATGTCGGGGCAAAGCTGGAAATTGAGTACTTGGTGCATTCTGAAATGGAAAAGGGGGATACTGTCTGCTGGCTGGCTTGCCGGAGGCATCGAGGTGTGGCGCCCACACCGGGCGGGCTCCGAACGGAGATGCGGCACCCTGCCAAAAGGTGCCTCGGAAGAGAAGATGGCCGTCTTGAGGTGCTTCTGCTCTAGACGGTTTAGGATGTGGGTGGAAGAGACCAGTGACATACAGTTCATGAGCTAGTGACTTGGAATCCTTGCCGGAGAGAATAACGCGGAAATTCTCTACTAGAGGATGCAGTGAGACCAACGCATAAGCGATGAGCCAGACCTGTGGAACTGTAGGTCTATCCTGGTTCCAGGTAACAGTTACATGGGGTGATCGTCGAGCGCGTGCCCAAGAACTGTTGTCTCCCTTTGATGGCCCACTGTCTTGGCTCGGTGAACCGATGCCACTGAACGAGATATCTTCATTGTGCAATACAACTGGAGGTGTGACCTCCTTGCCAGTTGTGTTCGCCGAGGAAATCCGGATCTTGTTGTTGGTAGGTTTTCCTTTGGGAGCGTCATTGACGACTGCGTATGCCGTAAGATATGGGTGAGGAAGTTTGAGAATGAATGGTTCTTCTGCCGCAGTTGGCTTCGTTTGTTGGCTCATTTTCGAATATTGGATTTTGCGCTGGTAGAAGGGGAGACCCAAGAAGATTGTATAAAGAGCCTTTTCATAGCCGGGATGTGTTGCTTGAAGGCATCCAACTTGGATACAGCTGCCCCGGGGCAGTTTAACCGAGGTTGTCCCTAGTAACCGGAACAAAATATGTGGGTATGCTAGCCATTGACGGGCAGCAATTGCCAGCGCTTGCGTGGGTGGCCGTGGTACGATGAAAGTCCCGGGTGGGTGGCTGATCGCACTATGTGGGTCTTATGCTGCCACCCTCAAACCCATGCAAGTTGTCGTACATGTGTGGCGTGCATTTACAGCCCATCCATGCGGCCCACACTAGCTGTCGGTGACATCGTTGTTTTGAGCCTGGATATCGGGGTGTCTGGCCGTTGCTGGATAAAGCTCGGATCTTTTTGTTCTACGTACGAGTTGTGCATGATCGCTGCTGTGGTATGAAATTAAACTGCTAGTGTCGTATCACGTTTTAGAACTTGCAGCTTTCAAACATAACAGCGCGCGGTGTCTGTCCTTGTTCTATCATCTTCCACACAATAACTTCCGCCGAAGAAACAAGCAGCACTATGAACGCAGCACCAGTTTCATCGATGGCGCAACCTACCCCTTTGTATGACCTCGTTTGCATTGGCTTCGGGGCAGCGCAGCTGGCTACGGCTATTGCGAATAGCGAGTCTCGAGCACCGTTGAAAGTGCTTTTCATCGAAAAGAAGCCGTCATTCTCATGGGGCTCGACTTCAAATTTATCAAGGACACGAATGGAAAGCCCATTCATGTACGACCTGGCAACACTTCGGAATCCGAGAACAGCCTTTAGCTACGTCAACTACCTTCTAAATCGCAAGCGGCTTATCGAGTTTGCAAACTCCGACCGTCTCAATCCTTTGAGAGAGGAATTTGCCGACTACATGAAGTGGAGTGCTGAGCATTTCAAGAACGACGTACGATATGGTAGCGAAGTTGTCGGGGTAGCCCCAGAAGTCGAAAGAGATGTTGTACAAGGCTGGAAGGTAGCCGTCAAAGATAATACTGGAAAAACATGGGTGGTGCGAGCGAGGAGCGTTGTTGCACCGTCTCCGTCCCGGACCAGTGGACCAACCGCACAATCACTACCGACAACAAACTTCTTAGCGGGCCAGCGTATCATCTCCATGGACGATTATCCTTCACGAAGAAACGAGCTGCGAGGTGCCAATGAGCCACGACTCAACGTATCCGTAGTCGGCTCTGGCGAGAATATGGTAGAAATCGTAGATGATCTACTATCTTGTCCTCGCCTGGGCAACATTACAGTAGTTACGGAAAGCGATTCGCTTGCTCCGTTGAGGATTCTGGACGATGCAAAGCCTCCACAACCCCAGCTGTGCTCGATCTGGGCGAAGCCGACAAGCTGTCAGACGCCGTCTGTCACGGAAGCACCAGAGCACATTCAGAGAGTTTACATGCGTGCCTACGAGAAGCAAGTCCAATCCAAGGGCGAGTTCAGACTCCGCGTCATTATCGGAAAAGACTCCTCTGCTGCATGCTCGGGCTCCAATGTCATCATCAGAGACACGGCGACAAGTCCCTTTTCAAACTCTACCCTGTTCCAGAGCGTGGATTCGATCATCCTAGGCTGTCGGCCCAAGGGAGAAAGCCTGGAAGAGGTGCAGTTCAAGCGCGGCGCTATTGCAGAGGGTTGTCGGCTGTGGTTGGTGTCCTCAAAGTCCGATGGAGGGCGGACACTGGCCAAGGACGTAGCGTTGATGGCTGGAGAAATTGTGCGCCAGGCATCCAAAGGGTCCAAGGAGGTAGGGGATGGTGCTGCATCGGTCCAAGTGCAAGCAAGGATATAGAGTGAACGACGTGGGTGGCGGTTGTCCAAAACGGTGTAGAGCTAGCGAAATTTTTATCTGATCTTCCGAGTAATCCGTGCGGCCCGTGCGTCAGTTACACTTGTTGCACTGACCATGTCCGAATATCGCCTGCTGCCAAGTCACACACACAGACGTCCATTCTCCACTACCCAAGCTCAGCCCACATTGGCACCATGCAACGTGCCTACTCTACGAATCCTCTAGTACTATTGCATCTACCACGCATTGATTTCACGTGATGCCATTCCCAACGGACACGCCGCGAGCAATTTCCACCGCCCGCCCCGTGTCGATCCTGGCCGTCGCCTCTCAATGGGGCCATGGCGCCCAGCTGCCCATATGCAGGTGTCCTCGCACAGCTTCATGAAATCGTACGGCAAGAGACACCTCCTCATCAGCAGTTGAACACTCTTTGTATGTTCCATGCCCATCAGCATGCCCTCACGGGCCTCTATTAAGCCCTTCTTCGGCTTCCTCCATCTTCTCTTTTACGCGGATCCGACATGGCTCGACAGGATACTTGTTCTCGTTGGCAGCATAGCTGCCATCGCAGCAGGCGTGCCATTCCCACTCATAGGAATTGTCTTCGGCCAACTCGTCGATGAAATCAATACGGTGACCTGTAACAACCAGGCTGGCGGCTCCACGCCATCTGAGGAATCTAATATCACACCCAAAATTCTCCTCCTGGTCTATATCGCCATTGCCAGTTTTGCCTGCATCTACACGCATCTGGTATGCTGGAATCTAGCTTCCCAGAGGTTGGCTCAACGTGTTCGGGATCGCTACCTCCGCAATCTCCTACGACAAGATATGACCTTTTTCGATAAACTCCAAGCCGGTGAAGTATCTTCTCGTCTGAATGGTGACATTCAGGCAATTGAAAGTGGTACCGGTGAAAAGGTTGGCGTTGCTCTGACTTGCATATCCTTTTGTGTCACAGCATACATAGTCGGCTTCATCAAAAATGCTGAGCTAGCGGGTATGCTCGTGTCTCTGATCCCTGCGTTCTTGCTCATGGCAGTAATTGGAGGCCGCTTCGTCGGAAAGTATAGTACCAAGTTGGCGGAATGCTTTGGATCCGCTAGCGCCATCGCGTCTGAAGCTCTTAGCCATGTCGGTCTTGTCCATGCTCTTGGGGCCAATACCAGACTGGAAGAGAAGTTCAAGGGACATTTGGAAAGTGCACGAGATCAGGGAATCAAGAAAGCAACTGCTGCTGCTATTCAGGCTGGGCTGCTCTATTTCATTGCTTTCTCAGCTAGTGCACTTGGTTATTGGCAGGGTAGTCGCAGAGTCGCAGATTCTCTTGAGGGCAAGGGTAGTGCGACTATTGGAGAGATCTACACAGTCACATTTATTCTCTTAGATGGTAAGCTCGATACCTAGATTTGCGAATTTCATATGTTAACGTTGGAAATCTAGGTGCTATTGTTCTGAGTCAGATTGCGCCCATGCTACCACTGTTCGGAGGGGCCATAGCTGCATTCGAGCGATTGCGAAAAGACATTGAAACCGAACCCACCATCGACAACACCTCCACCACTGCGGAGAAGCTTTCCAAAGCAGACGGAGAGATTGAGTTTCGCGATGTGGCTTTTACATACCCATCCCGGCCTGATCATCCTGTGCTGAACAGCATTTCCTTGAAATGTGAAGCCGGTGCGTATACTTCGCTCATGATGAAATTTCTCATCTCGCCTCCCAAATTTCGAAATGCCTAGAATGCTAACTAAATGGTTCCCTAGGCCAACTGACCGCCATTGTTGGACTGTCTGGAAGCGGAAAATCGACAGTGGCGAGTTTGATTAGTCGATTCTATGACCCACAGTCAGGAGATGTGCTCCTTGATGGCCGTAATATCAAAGACATCAACATAAAAAATCTCCGAGGCTTCATCAGTCTAGTCCAACAAGAACCATCGCTCTTAGATCGCTCCATTCTTGAGAATATCGCCCTCGGCTTAGTCAACTCTCCACCTCATGCTCATCTAGAGAAGACCTTGTTGAGTGGAGTTCTTGCTGGGGTCGCTGAAGATATCAGGAAAGGAAATCAACTCAATGAAGCAGCCGAGAAAGCTGGTAAAGAGGTGAGTTATGTTTTGAAAGAATTAAAATTCAAAAGTCGCTGTGCTAAGACAAATATACCCAGGTTGTGGAGATTGTGCAACTAGTGCAACACGCCGCCGATCTCGCCGACGTGGCAATATTCATCGACAGGCTAGAATTCGGATTCGGTACCTCTGTCGGCTCAAGCGGAAGTCTTGTTAGTGGCGGGCAAAAGCAACGAATCGCCCTTGCTCGAGCGCTCGTTCGGGACCCTAGGATTCTCATTCTAGATGAGGCCACTGCAGCTCTGGATTCCGCAAGCGAGCAGCGCATCCAGGCCGCTATTGAACGCGCCTCTGCGGGAAGAACTGTGATTTCAATCGCGCATCGACTTTCAACGATCAGAGCTGCTTCTAAGATCATTGTCATGAAAAAGGGCAATATTTTGGAGCAAGGTACTCATGAAGAACTTTTGGAATTGGACGGATCATATGCGGACATGGTCCGATTACAGACTGTCAAGACAGAGGATGGTCCTTCCAGCTCCAGAGCCAGTCTGGAATCGCGTGATGTCGATACTCTGTCGGACGAAAAACAGACAATGAAAGCGCAAGAAGCTGACCCTACGCCCGTAAACGACTTGAGCAACTCAGACTCTGTCGAACCAATCAAAGGCGCCGTTATTGCGGGATCTATCAGGAAAACGATGCTCCCCTTGACCCGGCCATATACGCTTCTTATCCTGTTAGCGTTCTTCGCAGCGTTGATAGTCGGCGGCCAATATTGTGGCTCTGGTCTTCTCTTCGGTAACATTATGGGCCTTATGGCTCCCTGTAATGATCCAGACTACATTCGCTCCCGAGGCGAGCTGCTCTCCGGGCTTTGGTTCATGTTAGCCTGCATCGCTTTCCTTGCCAATTTCACCAGCTGGGCGGCGTTTGGTCTTCTCTCGGAACGGTTGATCTACAAGGTTCGTAACCTAACTCTGCAGACACTCCTTCACCAACCTCTGCAATGGCATGAGTCTGAGGCGAGAAATCCTTCAATGTTACTTGAGTACATCACCAAAGATGGAAACTCACTAGCAGGATTCAGCGGTTCCATCGTCGGGACTTTGTTTTCCGTTGTGGTCAACTTTGTAGCCGCCATCGTCCTGTCGCACATCATCGCATGGCGGATTGCAATCGTATGCCTCGTGGTAGTGCCTCTGCTTCTTGGCGCCGGGTATATGCAGTTACGCGCAATTGGTCGCTTCGCTGTCAAGCACGCTGGCGCATTTTCGTCGTCGATTGGTGTTACAACTGAAGCGATCTCAAACATCAAAACAGTGCATGCTCTTTCAATCGAGGATGAAATCCTACAGACGTACCGAAGATCTCTCAAGGCTCCCAGAAAGGAAATGGTCCAACAAAGTTTCAAGACGAATGTCTGGTTAGCTGTCGCCAACTCCTGTGGTAGCTTCATCTACGCCTTTGCCTATTGGTGGGGATCAAAGAACATCATCGAGGGAAGGTACACCCAGACTCAGTTTTTCATCATACTTATTGCAATGCTCATCTCCGCCCAGCTCTGGGGTCAGCTATTTACGCTCGCCCCAGAAATCGCAAAGGCAAAGAGTGCCATCTCACGCATATGCGGGCTCATTGAACTGGGAACAGACGCATCCGGCGTAAGAAATGGAAAATCTACACCCAATAACGACTTCCAGGAGAAAGGAGACGATGTTGAGGCGCTGGCTGAGTCAACTTCACCAACATCAGCACAAGGCGGCGCTAGGGTTGTATTCCGAGATGTTGGATTTTCCTACCCAGCTCGTCCTGGTGTTCCAGTTCTTACATCACTGTCTTTCTCAACACAACCAGGCCAGTTTTGTGCTCTGGTTGGGCCTTCTGGCGCAGGAAAAAGCACTGTACTAGCACTCCTGGAACGATTCTATCTTCCTTCAACGGGCAGCATCTTCATCAATGGTGTTGACATATCGCGTCATCACGGTGCCTCATTCCGGGACGATATTGCTTACGTGCCACAAGAGAATGTACTCTTTCAAGGGAGCATCAAATTCAATATTTCATTGGGAGCGAGACCTGGTCATGTGCCATCAGATGAAGAGATACATGAAGCTTGCAAGTTGGCAAACATTCACGAAACCATCATGGAACTTCCACAGGGATACGACACGGAGTGTGGATCCAGTGGCAACCAACTTTCTGGTGGACAGCGTCAGCGCCTTTCCATTGCGCGAGCTCTGATACGGAAGCCTAAACTACTTCTCCTCGATGAGAGCACAAGTGCGCTGGATGCGGAAAGTGAAAAGGCCCTGGAACTTGGCCTTGAGCGCGCGGTGAAGGGTCACGGGGTCACAGTAATTGCAATTGCACACCGATTGCGGACGATTGCAAGGGCTGATGTTATATTTTTGGTTGAAGCTGGGAGGGTGGTGGACCAGGGACGGCACGAAGAGCTTGTACAGCGGAGCGAAAGCTACCGTGTCAATGCCCTTCACCAAATGTTGGGATAGATACTATGTTATACTATTTCTAGGTCGTAATAGCACTTATGCCAACTGCACAGCATCTGGCAGCCTCTTCTCTGCGCCTTCTGGTAACCATACGAACAAAGGAAGATTATCATCTACTTTCAAGTCTTTACCTTCTACCGATTTGATACTCTGCAGCGAAGGTTTCAGGTTTTCTTTCAATCTCCTGCAACCCATCTTCTCGTAAAAGCGCACACCGTCTTTTGAGCTTTCAATGTAAACCGGCAGTCCGGTGTTTTGAGAAATAGTAATGCCGTATTGAAAGATTTTTTCCCCGACACCCTTTCGCTGATATTCTGGATGAACGGCTATTACGTGGCCATACATGTACTTTTCGTTGAGCCAGAGCTTCTCTCTAGTCTCCCAAAGCGGGCTGATCAATGCTTCGGCTTGCTCTCGTTCTTTTCCTTCGAGCCAAGACATCTCGCCGCGCTTCCAGTCACTGGGTGTAATGTATATGTCGAAAATTGCCATGCCGACTATTCTATTAGATTCGGTGTCGACACACTTCAAAGTATATTGCGTTTGGCTGGTCTTCCACCACTCTTGAACATGATTCGTGTGCCCCTGTCTTGGCGACATCAGCCCACATTGCAATATTACGCGACAGCAAAAGACGGTGGGGAAGACAAGAATGCAGCACACGTACCGAAACTCGGATTTTGGATTGAGCAAATCGGCTTCTGTGGCCGAGGGAAACAAGGCACGTGTAACCGGGTTGTTTTTGAAGGTCTCAAAATACACATCATACACGTCGCTGATGTCGGGTGTAAGAGCGGGTAGTACCACAAAACCCATTGTTTTTGGCTGATCGAAGATCGAACTGTTTGGTAGTGTAGACAAGCAGTAGAGGTGGGTCCTAGACCAAATGATCTTCAAGCAGGAGAATAATGGATGAATGATACGACAAGGCTTGACAGCTGTGTGAACAAATCCGTGCAGATTACGATGAAATATTCACGATCTCGGAGAATGACTACAAAGCTAAGTTTCACACTACAGGTGCCGAGGCTCACGACGCATTCAACATCGGTTAGAAATGTTGAGAGAACGAGCCGGACGAGAATGGCGCGCCTTGTCCGCAAGCATGTCCTGCCGATCACTGAATTGATCACCTGCTCCGCTGCACTATAAATCGCGCGGAAACTAGCGTTCAATGGCCGTCGGGCTGAGGGAAAAAAATATTGTGCCGTGGACGGACAAACAATCCCTACCGGAGAGACCCTGGACGTGTTGCTATAGTCCATTGCAGTGTCAATCAAAGTTATCAGATCCGCCCTAAGCGAAACTTTACACCTCCCGGGCTAGAGTGTATGACCGAGCCTGAAACCTTGTCAGCTGCGTGGGATGACGAGACCAGCAACAGAGTAAGTATGAATGACCGTTACGACATAGGAAGGTCAAGAATATACGCCGCTGATTTCAGATGCAGGTGTGGCAGAGTAATTGACGCTGGGCGTCGGGCGGGCCCCAATCCCAATATTCCCGTGACATTCGGCAGATAATTTTTTCTCAAAGCCATGCAGCACACCCCCCTGGCAGCCAAACGCCATGGATCAGCAAAGTAGGCGGGCCTAAAGCGCATCATTGGCAGCCCTGGAAGGATGCGGAGCCCTTGCCGTTATCAGATGGAACCCATGGGCGTATTTGGCGACGTAACCCTGCATGCGCTTTTCCCAGGCTGGCCGTTCCGTGCTTGCATTGGCCGCCCACCAAATTTATCAGATGAATGCTCATGACGCCACCCATGGGCGCTAAGATTATCTGATCCGCTAAATGTGGGGTGGTTATCCATTGTCAGGAGAGTTTTCATTACAACTAAACCCCGGTACTGTCCTGAGTGTGCTTCTTCCCTGCCCACTTACGTTACAGAATGAGCAATGCAGCCGACTCGAGCTGTCTGCCGGGGCAAATGAGCAGAATTTGCCTTCGTCTGATGTACGAAAGCAGTGGTGCCGACAGCAGTCCGATCAAGAGGCCGTAGCGGACTGATGGACGAAAGCCGGTGTGTCACCCGAACCTGGTGTATGGAGTGCTAGGCCTAACTGCGGGATGAAGACTGAATAGAGAGTGCTGATGCACGGGTGGTCTCGTTATGCATCTTCTTGGAATCATCTACTACTAAAGAGTGGGCTTTTGAGTCGTGCTCCACCAAGATTGACATTATATTCAAACCGCCGACGTCGGGGAACACGTTTATTTCTTAGTTATGAAGAGACCACACTCTAGTCTGGATAACAAGATGCATCTTCCAAACGGCAGAGAAAACACGGTGCGCTTTAGTGGCGTTTCCGAGGAGCCTGCTGCGAAGAAGGTACAGAGCAGCAATGGTCTCGACGCTCAGGAACACGCCTTGCAATCAGAGAACCTCACTGGAGCTAAGCACACAAATGGAAATCCTTCCAAAGCAAATGATATTCAGGTACATCTGCCTAATGGCACAGATCGAGACTCAGTGCTGGACACTGTCCTGACAGCCTGGGCAATACTCATACAACGCTACCAACGAGACATCTTCCACCAGTTCACCTGGGGACAGAAGGACCAAGAAAATGCTGCGATACAGTGCATTTCTGTCGCTGACATCGACTGGGCAAACCAACAAACCGCTGCTAGCCTGAGAACGAAGATCGGCAGCGTCAAGTCGAATCAGTTCACGCTCAATGAGACTACCCTTTTCTTCAATGATGGCGCTAATGAAGAGGTACGTCCTACAGTACATTTGAATCAAATGCATAGCTAACAATACATAGTGGACGTTTGAAGTCTTACTTAATGTTCGACAAGACACATTACACGCCACCTCAACATGGCAAACAACAACCATGTCTCAACATCAAGCTGTTTCACAGCTACACTTTTTTGCTTCGATTCTTGAAACACTTTTCAAAGATGTCGATCATCCGCTCTCCCATTTTCACAATGTCTCAGGAGATGAGCTTGACGAGCTGTGGAGCTGGAATACGCCTCTACAGCCGGAGCTTCGCTTCTGTATGCACGAAAAGGTGTCTGAGAGAGCTGCGTTGCATCCAGAAAAGATTGCTATAGATGCCTGGGATGGCACCTTGACGTATGGCCAAATCGAAGATTACTCTGATAAATTGGCAAAGTTACTGCGATTGCTGGATGACTCGTCCAACCGGATTATCCCAGTGTTGTTCGAAAAGTCGAGATGGACGTCAGTAGCAGTGCTCGCTATCATGAAATCAGGCGCATGCTTTGCACTGCTCGATCCAGCCCAGCCGGAAGGTCGGTTACGAGCGGTGGTCCAGCAAGTCAATGCCAAACTTTTTCTCTCTTCCAAAGCACAATCGGCCCTTGCCGCGCGAGTGGCACCTTCTGCTACCATCATCCCGATATCCAAATCCAAGTTCAACAAAATATTTTCTCCTTATACGGCAGAGCAGCCGAACAATACACTTCCGCCTGTCTCGCCGGATCAGCCATTGTACATTCAATTCACCAGCGGAAGTACAGGTGTTCCCAAGGGATGTATCCTCACCCACAGCCAGTATACGTCTGGTGCGATACCGCGTGCTGCAGCTGTGGGATACTATCCTCATTCTCGCGTACTGGATTTTGCAAGTTATGCTTTCGATGTGTGCATCGACTCCATGCTCTGCACACTGGCGCATGGCGCCACACTCTGCACACCCTCGGATGAGCGACGCATGAACGACATGAGTGGCGCCATGCGTGATATGCGAGTCACCTTTGCCGGTATGACCCCGTCGGTCGCTCGAACCTTGGACGTGGATATTCTGAATAATCTCGAATCTATCGCGCTGGGAGGTGAGGGTGTCTCGATAAGTGACGCCATGTCATGGGGTCAAAGGACCAGAGTCGTAAATGCTTACGGTCCATCCGAGGCGACAGTGGGAGCCACTATCAACGATGATGTAGCTGCCAAACCTTACATCACAATGGGCAAACGCAAGGGCTGCGCCCTCTGGCTTACCGAACCTGAGGATCACAACAAGCTAGTACCTGTTGGTGCAGTTGGCGAGTTGCTGATTGAAGGCCCCATTGTCGGTAATGGTTATCTGAACAACCCGTCCAAGACAAAGGAGGTCTTTATCGAAGACCCTGAGTTCTTGCTCAAAGGAAGTAAGAGCTATCCCGGCCGACATGGACGCATCTACAAGACTGGTGATCTGGTGCGTTTTGACCCAGATGGCAATGGCGAGCCCATCTTCGTCGGACGCCAGGACCAGCAGGTCAAGCTACGCGGACAGCGTATCGAACTGGCTGAAATCGAATTCAACATGCAGAAGCATCTGCCTCCTGATACGCAGCTAGCGGCTGAAGTCATCAAACCAAATGGTGGCGAGCAGACATTGGTTGCCTTTCTTGTCGAGCAGAAGAAGAACGGAATGCGTCACCTCGACGGCAACGTCTTCGGAAGCTTTACAAATAAGTTCCAGAGCGCACTCAGGGATATGACGAAGCAGCTCTTTGTTGACCTGCCCAGTTACATGATACCCAGTGCCTACATTCCGCTCTGGAAGATGCCTCTGCTCGTCTCATGTAAGACGGATCGGAAGCGGCTGCGTGAGATTGGTGCTTCCGTCACTCGTCAGGATCTCCGCCGCTTCAACTCGGCTGTATCCGAGAAGAAGGAGGCTACAACAGAAATGGAGCTGAAGCTTCAGTCGCTTTGGGCGAAGCTGCTTGGCGGAGACGCTGATTTCAGCGCCAATGACAATTTCTTCAGCATGGGCGGCGACTCTCTGAGAGCAATGAGATTGGTAGCTGCTGCAAGAGATGAAGGAATCGTGTTGAGCGTACCAGATATTATGCTTAACCCGACGCTATCGGCTATGGCTAAAAAGGCCAGACCAGTCTCTGCAGAAGAGACAAATGAAGTCCTTCCATTCTCGATGATTGGGAAGGATTGGGATGCCGATGCAGCACGGCAAGAGAGCGCGAGGCTTTGCGGCGTTGATGCTGCGAATGTAGAGGATGTTTATCCTTGTACGCCTCTTCAGGAAGGTCTTATTGCCCTGTCCGCCAAGTTCCAGGATGCATACGTTGCTCAGCGTGTTGCGACACTCCCATCAGAAATGGCATTGCGCTTGAAACAAGCGTTCGACACCGCTACGGAAGGCTCACCAATCTTGCGAACGAGGATCGTCAACTTCACTGGTCGTGGCTTGTTCCAAGTTGTACTCAAGGATGGGCAGTTAGTACGCGAGCATGGCACTGATGTCTCTGAGTACCTCAGACTTGATCGGAATGAGCCTATGGATCTGGGGACTGCCTTGTTCCGTTATGGCCTCGTCAAAGAGCCTGGAAGTGACCAGATAAATTTTGTCATCACGATGCATCACGCCGTCTATGATGGATGGTCGATGCCTCTTGTATTCGATCGCATCAATCGTGCTTTCAATGGCCTTGATACCGAGCGACCAACGTCTTTCAAACACTTTATCAAGCATCTCATCAGTCTCGATCCAGCAGATGCTCAAAAATACTGGAAGGAGCGCCTAGAAGGCACAAGCCCCCACCAGTTCCCTCCTTTGCCGCAAAAGGGATACACTACTCAGGCCGACTCCCTGCTTGAACACTACGTTACCGTCCCTACCTCAGCGCATTCCAAGCTTACCCTAGCAACCATCATCCGCGGTGCATGGGCTCTTGTATCATCGCTGTACATGGGCCACCCAGATATTGTCTTTGGCGAAACACTTACCGGTCGCTCCGCACCTGTCCCCGGTATCGAGCAGATTGAAGGGCCAATGATCACAACCATTCCTATCCGCGTCCGCCTTGGTCTCGATCGTCCCATTTCCGAGTACCTCCAAAAGATCCATTCTGCGACCGTAAAACAAATTCCTCATGAGCACTTGGGCCTCCAGAATATCCGCCGTCTGAGCAAGGATGCACGTGTTGCCTGTGACCTTCGTACCGGTCTTGTACTACACCCCAAAGAAGAGGAGAACTGGGGCACAGTCGGTATCGAGACTCCTGCAAACACATTCCTTCCCGCCAATGATGAGGAGGGAGCACGCGAGGCGCTCAAGTTCAACACTTATGCTCTCATGCTGGTCTGCACGCTTGAAGAGAACGGCTTCCTGATCATGGCTAGTTTCGACTCCAACTGCATCAGCAAAGAGGCAATGGAGAGGGCGCTTATTGTACTCGACCGCATTGTTCATGCTTTCTTGGGTAATCCCGAGAGCAAGCTGGGTGATGTAGCAGTCCTAGATCCAGTGGAAGCTCGAGATGCGGAGGCTTTGAGACCAAGGGATGTCATGAGTGACAGTGCACTGGGCATGTCGCCGATTGATGGGCCCGAATCTATGGATGCTAGCATGAAGGAACTGTCGCCCAGCGAAGAGAAGCTGCGAAGTATACTGAGTCGTATTTTGGGCATGAAGGAAACAGATATCAGGCCAAGTGATAGCTTCTTTGACTTGGGCGGAGATTCTATCGGTGCTATGCGTCTCGTTTCCGATGCCCGCGCTCAAAGCCTCAACCTGACGGTTGCCCAGGTCTTCCAAAGCAGCTCCTTGTCTGACCTGGCCGCTTCAGCAAGCAATGAACGGGAAGAAAAGCTGGCGGAAATTCTTAGCCGTATCCTAGGTATGGCCAAGACCGATATCAAGAGCAGCGACAGCTTCTTTGAATTGGGGGGTGATTCTATTGGCGCAATGAGGCTGGTCTCGGATGCTCGCGCGCAAGGGCTCAACATCACAGTTGCACAGGTTTTCCAGAGCAAATCTCTTGCCGAGCTTGCTTCATCAGCTGAGGAAGAGGCTCCATCGCAATCCAAGGTTGATGTTGATGCACCTTTCATCGCGCTGGGCAAGGATGCCAACCTCCACAGCCCAGATCGTGTTGGCCTGTACCTTGAGAATCAGGAATGGGAGATCACAAATATCTACCCAACAAGACCACTGCAGCAACTCGCAGTTGAGGGAACTGTGGACCTACCACGATACTCACTGCGTTACGAGCTGATCAAGTTTGCAACTCCGATTGACTGTCAGAAGCTGGAGGAAGCATGCCAGGAGCTTGTGGCACGCAATGAGGTTCTGCGCACTGTTTTCGTCAAAGACGACGAGTTGACGCTCGGTGTGGTTCTATCCTCACTGAGAGTGCCCTACACCGAGACTGCAGTCCCAGAAGGTGAAGACGCTGACGCCTTCATCCAGGCAGGCATCAAACAGGACATCGAGGCACCCAAGCCATATGGATCATCTTTTGTCGCCTTCAACCTCTTCACACATACCAACGGCGCCTCCACCCTCGTCTTCCGAATCTCACACGCCCAGTACGACGAAATCTGCCTGCCCATACTCTTTGAGCAGCTCTCCGCTCTCTACTCAGGGACCACAGTCCCCGAAACCGTGCCCTTTAGCAAACACGTCAACCACGTCGTCCTGGACAACATCCCCAAAGCAATCCCATACTGGACGAACCTCCTCTCCGGCTCCGAAATGACCGTCTTGAAACCCAGCATCCCACTCACCCACCGCGGCCCCGCAGACATCTACAGAGAATTCGACATTTCCCGCCGCCCCGCCAACATCACCATCGGCTCTCTCCCCACCGCCGCCTGGGCCCTCGTCCTCTCCCGCCGCCTCAACCTCACCGATGTCGTCTTCGGCGAAGTCGTCTCAGGCCGCAACGTCGGCGCCCCCAACGCCGACCGCATCTTCGGCCCCACATGGCAATACATTCCCTTCCGCGTACCCTTTTCCAAATCCTGGTCCTACCTCGATCTCCTACGCTACGTGCAGCACCAACACATGACCTCCGCCGCGTACGAATCCATGGGCTTCGGCGAGATTGTCAAGAATTGCACAACTTGGAAAGAGGACGAGGTGCAGTGGTTCGATACCGTCGTGCATCAGGCGCCGGCGTGGGTCGAGGAGTTGCCGTTTGGAAATGGCGTCGAGGCGAAGTTTCAGACGCTGTATCCGCATGGTGAGCCGTTGAGAGAGTGGAAGTGTCAGGCGTTTGTGAAGGAGGGGGGGAAGAAGTTGGGGATTGAGATTGTGACGTTTGAGGAGTGGATTGGGGAGGCGGAGGGGGTGTTGGAGGAGGTTGGGAGGGCGTTGGAGTGTTTGATGGAGGGGAGGGCTGTGGAGAATATTTTTTGAGTGTGAGGGGGGGAGAGTGTGAGGTGATTTTTGCTTGATTCTGGGGGCAGCTGATGATAGATCTCGTATGTAAGGTATTTGTAGTTTCTTGTACTTTTTAATGCAATGTTCTTAGTGTTGTTGTTACATACATGTTATATGATTCCATCTGCGTAACCGCTTGTGATGTTTCCTAGAATATTGAAGTTCTCCGGAAATATTGTGTACTTTGTTGAATGAAATCCTATAAGTCCAATATGGTTCACTCACCATAGCCATATCACAAAGCTGTCATGAACGCGGTACCTAAGCACGCAGCGTAACCCCGAATTAAGCTTGAAGCAGTTGTGTTTTCCCAGTTACTTTGATAGGAATGCTGTACAAAACCCCGGCATATGTCGCAAAGTCCACCAGCATGCTCTAGCTTAATAGATCGTGGAACACAGTGTGCTTGTTGATGGGTGCGTGTATCATTTATGAAGCGTCGCGCAATATTCGATCGTCAGGTCTTGGTAGAATTAACGGTACCTTTTTGGGTCCTCTATACGTTGCATGACAGCGGGGAGGTGCATATATGTTTATATTATTATACCCCTGTCCCTCTTGACAAGTCTCCTTAAAGTTATGACGATGAGCAGCATCTGGTATATCAATGTCTTCATCGGGAAACTTGGCATGCATGTCGATAGTAAAGTTTATTACCCTTGTGTTGTTGCAAGGGATCCATCCGATCTATCATACCCCTGAGCTTCAGTCGTCGTCATGAAATTCGTATGGTACATACGTTTTCTCATTCCCGCAGCGACAGCTATGGCTGGGGGAGCCGAGCACGACGCAGAGGCCATTGCGGGCTCCACCCCAGAACCCCAAGCGAGCGCTTTCAAGTGCGACACCCGTCGAAAATTTTGCCTGGATGAGGTGGTATGGGCAAAAGGTACGTGGCTGTGCATCTCGATTCCACGCAAGCTATCCCTGCTCTCAGGACATGGATGCAAATATAAACTTTTCGGCCCGGCTGGCTTCCTACCAAATGGGTCAAACGGCCGTTCTGATTAGAGCCAGGCGTCGATTATTATTATTATTATTATTCCATTATAGTCCTGTATCAGCCGTTGGCTATGTAGGACTTTGGCCAAAGGCCGTTCTATCTGACTAGTTACAATTTGGTACGTTNTGCTGTATTGCGTNACTATGGTGCTTCGGCCTTTGTCTAGTTAAGCTAGTGCTAGCTTTCTAGACGCCTGGTGCTAAAGAGCAGTTTGGTAACAGGGAGAGATGTAGGGCAGCTAGGCTGCCTTCCAGCGAGCTCTCTAGCCAGGCGTCGATTTTTAAAGACTATTGCACATATACTGCCGCGAACAATACGAACACGATGCACTTTCCTGCCACGGGTGTATGAGAACGCCATACCCCACACTCCACTGCGCAGCCTCCCCTGGCGCATGGAACTCGGCCTTCGCATGTATCAATGGGCAATATCGTTTCGCATACCGGTGCAAGTACTGGTGCCGCGAAGGCACATTTTTGAACGAGTAGCAGAAAGCTTTGGGATTTTGTCGAGGATATTCAAGAGTGCATACGTCAGCAAGGGGAACGGTAGCTACCGTACCGTTGCTTGAGGGTGACGACGCCAAAATGGCATGTTGCCGTAAGGTTTTGCTTACAGCCGATCAAAACAGGGGGACCGGTAATGAACGAAAATGTGTCATCATCCTGGTTGTTTTCACTCCGATTCTCGAGGTGTATTGGCTGAGCCTCATCGGTTTGGTTTTCTGGGATGCTCGAGGTCACCCTTGTTCACGTGATGCGGCGTTCTACGTGAAAAGGTTGTAGAGTAGTGGTGGCTTGTTCATCCCTTTGTCTCCTGAATTATGCGTACCATTTTCTGTACATTTAGCCGCTTCTTCAGCGTATCCTTACTCCCTGATTGTTATAGGAACTATGGATTTGCTGGTCCGATCGCCTCTCATTGCAATACTTCTGGCTTTGGGTACTTTAGTCCTATTGGCGACAGCGAACATCTTTGCATATTGTTCAAGACAATCTCATGGATATCAAATCCGGTGCATTCGCGATATCCCTAACTTGGATAAGTGGCGGAGGTATCTTTGTCAGTATTCGGCGTGGCTATGTTGATGGCACGATTTTGCAACGTTAAAAACACACGCACCAAATTTCCGACTTGTCGCCCCGAACCGATATGAGTAGTTTGCATACTCTGAAGCGGTAGAGGATGAAATATGGTTTATGGAAAATTCCATTCCCGCTCACTGGGTAGTCAACAAGGTGGACGACCAAGTGCAATTGATGTTGGCATAGCCACCTTTACGTCGAGAGAAAGGCATGACCGATGCTAGGAGGGCAAACTAGAGATGAGCTTTTCCACTCTATTCACAAAGTCACCATTTCATGGTTAGGAAAAGACCAGGCGGGATAAGATACACTACGCTTAGTGCACCTTTTTGACCTTTAGCTTTTCTATCAACCTGAAAAAGTCAAGGTATCAAAACTACTACTCGTGTCGATGACTGGCAAATACCAATTTCTGGGGCGCCTCCAGATATTTTCTGTACTCCGAGACGTTTTCACGAAGGCGAGTTACTGCTTCCGCAAGTGGATCAGTAGGGGTGTCTCGATATCGACATTGACATAGCCATGAAAAAAAAGATAAATTTATTCTCGTCAACACTCTCATACAGTGAGGACACGTTTGGTACGGAATTCACATAGCCCTGACTACGCAACAGGCCATTCTGCCCTGTCTTCACTATACGAGAAATGAATGCAGCAATGCTCAAAAGGCGCAGCCCGACATTGAGGCATCTTCAAACACACATCGTGAACAGTGCCAATGTCCAACTCTCGAAACGATAGCCCAGAAAGTAACTTCGTATGGTCGGTCAAGACTTTGGAAGAGCATGGCTGGTCCCAGGTATTACAGCACCCCGCCGACTCTAGACATCGATTCGGCTACCTTCCCCGCGCAATTCGGTACACATGTTCTTAGGGGCAAGGCTCGGGACTTGGATGAGAATCTCGCATTCGTTGGTGCCGTCTCAACATCAAGATTTTCAGCTCCGCTCTCATTTCAAAAAAGCACCAAAAAACGTTGAGCAAATACATTCTTACACAGTCCCCACATCATTTTAGCATCAACCTCCCATAATCAGACCTTTTTGCTGCCTGGGCGCAGCAACCAGTTCACATCAATTCATCATGGCGTATTCGGCGCGATTTGTATCATTTTAAAAGTCAAAAAGAGGATGAGCGCATAGAAGAAGAGTAAGTGTATACACAGGGTGTAAAATTATAGTATCTGAAAAAAAAAACCCCAAAAACAGGCTTCTTGCGGAATGGAGTCCGAAAAGACACCCAAAGACGCGTCGCAAGGCATGAAACAATACAAAGAGAATATTTAGTAGTCATATTTGTAGCAGAGCGGCACGCTGAGAGTGTCGACAAGGTCCCTGATGGTGAGATCTGGCATCATTCCGTAGGTGTTGACCGTGGTGTCGAGAGTGAGAGGGTTGCCGGCGGCGTCGACTCCGTTCATTTGAGAGAGCCATTGTGGGTTCTTGTTGGTGTAGAGGCGTGCATTGCGGTCGATGAAGGCGTGGTGCCAAAAGAAGAAGGGTTCACAAGGAGAGGCCTGTACATCCATCATGGGGCCTCCGATTCCGTTGTGGCCGAAGGAGTGGTAGCCTACGAAGGTACATCTGGTGAATCCAGCATAGTCTGGGTAGTTGCTGCAAATGTCGATGTATTCTTGGTTGCAATTCTTGGTGAGGGAGCCATCACCGTTGCGCGACAGACAATGAGGCTGGTTGGATGAACCGGGGCCGACATTGCAGATAAGGTTGGCGAATTGCTGCAGACTTGAGTCAGTCGTTGGTCTGGGAATGCAGTATTGGTCTCAACTTACACCATCCCTTACACACTGGTTGTTGATTGCGAGGCCTCCAAGCCATCTGGAACTGAACAGAGAGGATGACGCAAAGCGGCCAGCATAGCGAGTTTCGTCGAACCAAAGCATGGGTCCATCGAACCCACATTCATTACGCATCATGCGCTCCAGAAGAAGAAGCATAGCCCTGTGCCAGAAAATAAACTTGCCATTGGTGTGGACGTTGGGTGTGAGAAGCTGGTGGAGCGCTGTCAAGTCTTCATATCGGCTTTTGGATTGGGAAAATTGACCCGAGGGAGAGCGGCCCATCAAGCACTTGATGCCATCGAAGTATTTTTGCCTGTCGGTATCGCTCGCTCGGTCCCATTCTACGCGGACACGAGGATTCGAGCATCTCTGGGCGCTCTGACGCTTTTCGTGTTTCCCAAAGTCAATCACCTCGCTGATGTTGAAAGTGTAATGCTCCAATTGAGCTCTCGCCTCCTCGATGGGCACCGCCGTGTGCGAATATTCCGTCTTGAAGGCCTCAGCGGGCAGCGCCTTAGCGACACCATTGAGCAAATCCGTCAGCAGGTTGGTAGCCTCATCGGATAACTTTGCCGTCAGTGCCGTGAGCGATCCTGCCATTACTTGGGGCGACGGGAGGGCGTTAACGCCAACGGTCATGGCCAAAGTGGCCGTAAGAAGTCCGGTCCGCATGATGAAGGCGAGGTGTTGTATTAAATGTAATTGTAGGTACGCGAATGGCAAACTTGGTGAGAAATAAAACGAATGACTGTAGCCCAAAAGCGAACGGGAGCTGCGTATGGACAAGAAAACGAGCAAGCTGCCCAAAAGGTAAGAGATTGAACCCGGGCGGGCCTGTCATCCTTATAGCTGGACCTGCATGAACCGGCCGCCTCTGCCTGTAGCGTGGGTGGGCGCTTTGTCCTGCAGATCATTACGGCCCACTGGCCCCAGCGGGTTCCCATTTTCGACACCTGGTCATGGGTTCTGGAAATACGGACAAAACGCTTCTTCCCTAGGTGGCCTAGGTCTGCAACGTTGTATTGGCAAATAAGTCAGCTTACACGAGCTATTGCACCGGAGGCGAATGAGAAAGGAGGCGCCTAAGCCGCTTCTGGCCTGTGGCTAATTCGACGTTGCCGAGCTTCCTTGTCAGGCTTACTTTGTGCTGCCTGGGAGTCTCCTAGTAAATCATGGCCTAGCTTCCTAACTCTTCTGCCGCATACGAAACCAAGGAAAAATCGAGTAAGGACGTCGCCGGCGCCCGAATGCTGATGATGACGACGGATGACAAACGAACTGCTATCCTTAAGGGCGGTCTGCACATCTCCCTACAAGCCCTGTCTTGAGCTAACGATTCGATTCTGACCAAAGTTAGAACCCAAAAGCCGTATAGGTGGGCCGAGACATCGTGTTCTTCAACTTTGCTTTGGCGATTTGGTACTGTCCGGGACCCAGATATAGAACCATAGTAGACGGAACGGCCCTGTGCTATGCTCGGAACTGGCAGCACGTACTCCACGTGCGCCGCCATAGCCATGACCATGGCCATGTACCACGACTTGGCGCCTAGTCGTCATCGTTGGCAATTGACATATGCACATGAACTTTAACTGCCTCTCGGTGAGGGGAACATGATGCTCTTGGTGCCAACAAATCAACTGAATGGGCCAGACTACCGTGGACTCCCGGTAGCGGGGAAAAGGGCTGCATGCTATGACTTTTAGGAACCTTTGTGACGAGCCAAAAGGGGCTATCGACGCCAGCTAATAGTGTCGTACGGGGCCAGAAGCCGGTACTTCGAATCGTCTCGGTCTGCGCATGTGTACACGTACACGTGTGGATGTATGTTTGCGCCCATTTGGCAACATTGTAGACAATCCCTTGGTGTGGAAGTACTTGCTCTACTTAGAACCGAAGCCCCGCAGATAGCGCCATAGTATTATGACTAACAGTGGGGCTGCAATTTCCGCTCGGACGATCTAGATAGTACTACTATTTTGAGCTCATGAGGATCCAAAAATTCAAATTGACCCTCGATACACCATCGTATTCTTAATCAAAGACCAACGAAAGATTTTGAGGGTTCGATATTCGCTGTGCGCCTGGTTATATTGCAGTAGGACGAGCAGGAAGTGTGGCGTGAAGGATCCATCCAAACACCAATTCGCCGTATGTGCTTACTACCCCACCTTGGCGCAATTGGACACGAGGAGGCAATAACGCTATACCTGTTTCTTTATCCTCATGGCTGCCAAAAGCCTGAGCCTAGTACTCACCAGACCATAGTGTACTTGTTTACGGCATCCACGGCATACGGTGCTATTTCCGTCACCGACTCTGTTTTTTGTCGAATGACTACGGCGAGAGTGTCAGGCAGCCAACACGCGACGTCTTCTGGAATCAAAAAAAACGCATGTCTGTGCCGCAATAGGGCTTGCCTTATTCTCTCAACAAACGTGTGTCGCATAAGTGTTAAAGAGTTCTGGTGGGGATGGAACAATTGGCATGGAACTGACCATCGGAGTGCGACACCAAACGAAAAATCACATTGGCAAAAACAACGCAGAGGTCCAAAAAGCCACCGATGACGTCTATGCGATACAAACTAGCATTCACCTGGCCTGACTTTGAAGGCGCTAACAGTCGCGGGTGCGTGACATATGTACTAAACATCATCAGCAAAGTTTACCAGTGCCATTGACGTGGTGCGCCACGCACGCCGCAATGAAATCTAGCACCAAGGAAAGCAAATGACCAGACGAACAGTACGAGGGTGTCTTTGCTCCTTCGCGGAATTCTTCCACTATGGACTTTTGGCAATCGGGGCCCGCTGCACTTGCGCATGCTCGCCACAATTCCCGCAAAACGCTTTTGATGGATCTGTTCCGTTACGAGGAGCGCAATCTCAGCCGAGGACGTACCAGCCGTGGCCCTGCTAATGCAACCGTTACAAGAGCGTGGGTGTAGTAACCCACTGATTGGACTATGCCACTGCCCGCCCGTTTCAACGGATTCCTGTGCAATTTCGTTGCTTGTTGGATTGTTTCCCAGATGCGTCGCTGTGGCGTTCCTCTGCCATTATCCCTGCATTCTGTGCGCAACAACAAAAACAACCAATGGCGCTTTGTGTTAAGTGTGGGTGGGCTGAAACCCACTCTGGCGTTTTCAGCCCTGCCAAGTCTCACTCCCTCCTCTATCCCCACCACATGAGATCGCTCAGAGACCACAAAAAGAAAAGAAAACAGCCAAAATCAAACCGCTTTGGTGTGTGTGACTTCGAAACACGTTTCTTCGCGCTGATCGACTTTCAAGCAAAAGTCTCTTGAGCATCCTTATATCCTGCGCTGCTGATCCCTGACCCCTTCGCTTGGTCAGGAGACGCAAACTCTACGTCCATCACGGTTAATCTGCACAACCGTTTTGTGTAACTTCAGCACAGCCACCTTCCTATCACAGCAGACATGCGAATCCCGGTCTGTAGGGGGCATTCTGCACAAAGGAAACACAGGGTCCGCTGTGTTACCCGACCATCTCGGTGTCCACATCGCGCGTGCAATCATCCGCCCGACAAGAACGCCGAGATTTCGGATCTGGTGCCGAGACTTTTTTACGCTCATAGTGACCTATCACTACTCGAGCGATGGCAATCTTTCTCCTTTTATGGGCTTCACAGTACTCCTTTCGTATTGAACGTGTCTTGGATGCTGACTGTATCGTCGTTATGATCGTGGCTGTCAACCGCTAGAAACCTTGCATCACCAACAGTCACCAAGCACGGATTTAGGTTTGATGATTTGCTGCACATGCAAATCTGGGTTCGGGTAGTGTTCCTTTGCAGATATCAAAACTACCAATGGAGCAAGACTGGCCTTTCGTCTATTCAATGTTCGCACTCCAAGTAAGTAGGGGATGCCCATGGTCATACCATCCCTCTTCTTCCACCTTTTTACCGGCACAAACGTTGGGCCGATTACAAGAGTAAACCGTCTAGTCTGACACGAAGCAAATTTTTCTTTTCCGGTGGCTTTATCCTTTTTTTCGAATTTAAAAAACAGAGTTTGTGGAAACTCTGTACGTCTCGCTAGCACCTCGCCCAGATAGGTTGCCTGCAAAATATAGTTCATTTTAGCCTTTTTGGTCTTGATTATACATGTAGATACAATTTTCACTCTCCTGCTTTTGCGAACGAATCTTCGTACTTTTCGGTGACTCTTGGTACCGCGTGTGTCAACTGGCCGGTGGCGCGCGGCACGGTTGCCGGACACGAGTGCTGATGGTAAGCTAGAACTTTCAGCCGGACCAGAATAATGTCGTATGATTTGGTCTATTTAGAGTGTTATTTTGTGGATAGAACTATACATGGTATGGCCGAGGGCAGAAATAGCAGGTTGCTTTTGATATTACTCAAATGTCAAGACGAAATCGCATAATAAAACTAGCAAGCTCACTAGATATAGTTAGTGTCAATATACTGTTTATAATCTACTGCCTCAATAATCCTCTAGAATTAACCGTAGTTTATAAATTACTAACTACTCTTATCATGTCTAGTATTTTATCAACTCCAATTGTCAGAACGTTAAACTACTTCGTCATCCTCTTCGTACATGTTCAGTATCTAGGTATATTGTTTGTATTTCTGATCTTGAGCCATCAGGGCGACTTCATAGCCAAGAGCATTGAATTTAAAGTCCTTGTTGGATATCTTGCTATGCAACGAGCCCCTCCAAGTAACGGCTCCCTTTTGTTTCCATGCGTGCTTTAAGATCAATGTTCGCCCTGTCACAAAACGCTCACACAGTTTACAAACACTATTACGACCACTATCTAGCGTGGCCACCAATTTCTTCAAAAAACTTGAATAGCCACTTAATGGAAATTTAGTTTAACAAAGCTGATCATGCATGAATGGGTTATGGAAAGACCAAGTATATGGCATATCTGAATGGTTCACTCACCAGGCTGCTAATGATTAGTCTACACTTGGTTCAAGTCTTGTCTCCAGACATCGCTCACAAGCGCGAGTATAGTATTCTTAGAACCATGACCCGTTATTTCCAGCCGCCAACTTGTAAGTAATAAATCAAGAAAGATGCTTGTATTATAGGAGTCTTAAAAAGTATTGTGTCCATTATAGGTAGCTAGTAGAGCGTGTCTACACTCCTCTTGCACTTACTTTGCGTCACCACAGGAGCTCAAAATCTAAAGGCCGCATTGTAACTGCTCTATGAAAAAGCTACCAAATGGATCCTCTTCAAATGTTCGCATTATATTCGCCCACTATTCAGCATCAATGATGGATCCGCTGGAACACGACCCGGAAACTCACTAGCCACATGCGACACAAGTACCTCGGCATCTCCCCATTACAAGCTCCCTCAGCCGAACCACGTCCATACGAACCGACAACAACACATAGCTTTGCCACCCACGCGACACTTGACCCAGCCATTTGCAGGAGTTTAGATAAAGTCTGTTCGCTTTCGCAAGTAGAAAATAACCGATATACTATACGAATAGAAAGAGCAAGGAACAACAAAGAAGCTAAACGATACAACGACAACATGGCAGAGGCATACCAGAAAGAGTTCTTCAACGTTTCATTCCCAGCGGAATATGTGGCGCACGTTGAGATTAATCGTCCGGAGAAGATGAATGCGTTCAAGGAGGTGTAAGTATACAATTTCATTCTTTTGTCGAATTGCCGAGCGTATGCAGGTCGAAGAGCAAGTACATACAAGAACATCTTCAACCGTGATAATGTCCAATAAAAAAGATGAACAAGTACATACTGCGCATACAAGACAACCCATACGTCGCAAAAAAATCTCACTCTCTCAGCAATCCCACCCTAACACAACCTCCAGCATGTGGCTCAACCTCTCCGCCATCTTCCGCCAACTCTCCCACGACCCCAACGTCCGCGCCGTCATCCTAACCGGCGCTGGCGACCGCGCCTTTACAGCCGGTCTAGACATCCAAGCCGCATCCAACGACGGCGCCCTCGCGCAGAAAGAAGGCGAGACACCACTAGACGTAGCCCGCAAAGCCACCGTGAACCGGCGCCACATTCTCGAATTCCAAGATTGCATCACCGACATTGAAAGATGCGAGAAGCGTACGTTCCAACATCACTTCCCTCATAACTCAATTTCTCATTCATTCAATCAATTGAACGAGAGAAGAAGAGAAAAAAATTGAGGGTTCGTTTTTACTAACGTAAAGCCAAAGCCGTCATAGCAGTCCTCCACGGAATATCCTTCGGCCTCGCCCTCGACCTCTGCCTCGCCTGCGACGTCCGCATCTCCACCACCACTACCAGATTCTCCGTCAAAGAAGTCGACATCGGCATCGCCGCAGACATTGGCACTCTGTCTCGGCTCCCCCACTCCGTCGGCAACCTCTCCTGGGTCAAAGACATCAGTCTCTCCGCCCGCATTTTCCCCTCGAGCGAGGCTCTGCAGCACGGACTCGTGTCGGCCGTGTATAAAGACAAGGCCGAGGCCGTGGCTGAAGCGACCAAGTTGGCGGCCACGATTGCGACCAAGAGTCCTGTAGCGACGTTGGGGACTAAGCATATTATTAATTATTCGAGGGATAGGACTGTGGCCGAGGGCTTGACTTATACGGCCATTTGGAATGCGGCGATGGTGCAGACGGATGATGTCAAGGATGCGCTGTTGAGTGGCATGCAGAAGAGGACGCCCAAGTTTAGTAAGTTGTAAGATTTGATCAACAGTCAAAGAGAGAGAGAGAGAGAGAGATTTAGCTGGTAACAGAAACTTGTGTAAACAACAAAAGCAGAAAATGTGTAGCTCACATGCAACTTGACACATGAAGTGATATACCTCTTTTTGATATTGATGTGCACATCATAACAACTCACTTCACTCAAGAGAGAATATTACATCACACACACGCACACAATACACACAGCGATACAAGAATGCTTTTACTGTCAAAAGAATTTCCCTAACATCGTGCCTTGAAAAGAAAACAGCCGTCCGAGCATCGCTCTGAGATGAGCTGCAACTGAGTACCGAATCTCAGAAAAGCAGTCATCGAGCGTCGCTCTGAGCCAGCGCTACAAAGACGCGACGACCATCACACGGTGATGATGTTCCATTGTTGGACTTTGAGATTTTTCATTGACTCTAAGCGCCTAGACGTGTTAATGCCGGAAGAGTCCCAAACCCATCCCGCATGAGCATCAATCATAACCCATGGCATGCTACAGAAGATGTGGAATCGTGATTTTCCCGTTACGCCCCATTGCACTACCCAACATGCACTACCTTATCCCCGTGCCATGACACCCCAGCAGCGGATACGGTTGTCAGTGTATCCAGCGAACAGGGTCTGGCCGTCGGCGCTCCAGGCCAAGGAGACACACTCGGGCTCACGGCTCTTCTTGCCAACCTCCATGTACTCGGGCTTCAGCTCATCAACCTTGCTCTTCTTCTCGAGGTCGAAGATGATGATGCTGGAGGCGGTGGCAGCGCACAGCCAGTAGCGGTTGGGCGAGAAGACAAGGGCGTGGATCTCGTCACCGGCGGACAGGGAGTAGAGGTGCTTGGACTCGTTCAGGTCCCAGAGCATGGTTGTTCCGTCCTTACCACCGGAGGCGCACAGGGAGCCATCGGGCGAGATGGTGACGGTGTTGATGTAACCGGTGTGACCGATGTGGTCGGTCTGGATGCGGCAGGAAGCAAGTTCCCAGACCTGTTTAATGTTAGCTTCTTGCGGTCGAATAGCTTGGCAGTGAATCGAGGAGAGAAGCATCAAATCAGCACTAGGTGATAATTGTCTCATAGCCGAGGCTCTGAAGTAGCAAATACATAGAAAATCATCATAAAACGAGGGTGGGGGTTGGGTGTGAAAAGGGCCATGTTCACGTACCTTGACGAGCTTGTCCCAACCAGCCGAGACAATGACAGGGTTCTGAGGGTTGGGGGAGAAGCGAACGCACGAGACCCACTCGGTGTGGCCCTTGTCGGTGATGGTGTACTTGCAGTCACCGAGGGTGTTCCAGAGCTTGATGGTTCGGTCGCGCGATCCGGAAACGATCTGGCGGTTGTCGGCGGAGAAGGAGACGGAGAGGACGTCGTTGGTGTGGCCGACGAAGCGGCGGGTGGTGACACCAGTGGAGAGCTCCCAGAGGCGGAGGGTCTTGTCCCAGGACGAGGAGAGGGCGTAGGCGCCGTCAGAAGAGATGACCTGTGCAGCAATTGTCAGCTCAGCTTTTCTCGCTTCCTAGCTAGCCAATTGCCTTGTGTGTGCGGGTGAACATACGCAGTCGGACACGATGTGGGAGTGGCCGTGGAGACTCCTCTTGGGGTAACCGTACGAGGTCTCGTCGCGGGTCAGGTTCCAGATGATGAGCGTCTTGTCACGCGAACCGGACAGGAGCATGTTAGGGCTGGTCGCATGTCAGTAATTGCGCGTCTTGGACGGTACAGGATGTTTTCGGGGATACGCACTTCTCCAGAGAGGTAGCAAGGGAGGTAACCCAGCCAGAGTGGCCCTCGAGGGTACCACGGAGTACGAGTTGCTCGGCCATGATTGTGATGAGTGGCTTCTGCTGAGGATGGACGTGGGCGCACTCGGATGTTGATGGACAGTCCTGAAGTTGTTCGACGAGGAGCGCACAACGGGACGTCGAAATTGCGAAATAGACGAAGGCGCTAGGGCCGGATGTGGACTAGCGCCAAAGCACCAGCCTTGCAAGCCCATCGACTGTGAGTGGGTAAGCGAAGCCCTCTGTACTTTTCTTCCGAACGCAGCATTGATGCTGAGTTTCTAAATGAGATGATTGTGTATGTGAAGGCTGGTGATTCTGACGTACCTCGACTTATATCAGAGCCGTTGCGACCACAAAATCTCGATCAATCTCGGGTCAAAACTAGAGAAACTTGCTCCAGTCTTCGGGTTGAACTAACTGTGCGACGACTTCTGGCAGCCCATGCCTTTGGCACTGGTTTGTTTCTCCTGCACTGAATCCAAGTCGTCTGCGATGATTCGTCCCTGACTTCCTCTTTCTGTAGCTGATGATCAGCTCCATGTGCGACCAAGTCCACTAACTCCGAGACAACTGGGTTATCTCCGTGCTCCTTGCCCATAGCAAAGAAGCCACGCGCAGCGCCGAGCGGAAGCTTGGTATGGCACTTACTAATACATAGTCAGTATGTCTTCCACTGGCAATCCATGCATATAAGCATGAGCGGGATCAATCTGTTGCGTTCTTGATTAGCCATAGCGATTTCAGCTCCCAAGTATCTGGCACATACCACAAAATGGCATTGGAAACCCCTATCACAACAACCAAATTGCTACTCTTGGGCGCCGGGGAATTAGGAAATGCAATACTCACTCATATTTTTGCACTGCCATCCATACACATCACTCTCGGCATCCGCTCTCCATCCAAACACACCCACTTGACCACTTCCTACCCTTCCCTTACTTTACTTCCAATCGACCTCTCCGGCCCATCTGCAAGCCTCTCAGAAACCTTTGCGAATTTTGACATTATTGTCAGCGCGACTGGGTTCGGTGCAGATCCGACCACCGTTGTAAAACTCGCACGAGAAGTTCTGGGAGCCGGATCTATAAGGAAGGCAAAGGGTGAGAGCGATTTATGGTATTTTCCCTGGCAGTGGGGCGTCGACTACGATATCACTGGTGATGGGCAGGGGCTGATGCCCTTGTTTGGCGCGCAGCGTGACGTTCGCAACCTTTTGCGGGAGCAGGGCGAGGAGAGCAATGTCATGTGGACCGTTGTTTCTACTGGCATTTTCATGTCTTTCCTCTTTGAGCCATTCTGGGGTATCGTAGACAGGACGCACGAAAAGCAGGGCAAGCTGGTGGTAAGGTGCTTGAGAGATTGGGACCATAGGGTCACCATAACAGACGTGGACGATATTGGAAGAGTGTTGGCGAGGATTGTCAACGCGGACGTCGAGGCAAAACGGCGTGTGTTGTATATTGCTGGAGACACACTGAGTTACGGGCAGCTGGCTGAGCTCGTTGAAAGAGTTAGCGGGAAAAAGGTTGAGAGAGAAGAATGGACAATCTCACATCTCGTGGACGAGCTCAAGGCAGACTCGGACAACGACATCAAGAAGTACAGGCTAGTCTTTGCGAGAGAGGGAGTGTGGTGGAGCAAAGAAGAGACAGTAAATCACAAGTTGGGTATGTGTATGATGGATGTCGAGACTTACGCGAATAAGATGTTTGGAAATAGAAACACTGGCCAGGAATAAAGCTAATTGGACGAGTTTGACACCTGTTTTGACAACGCCTTTTGTATATTGCACCAATACTGCTGAGTAAGTATGACCGCATCAACCGTGAGATTGCTGAAGGAGTGCAGTGGGCTATGAATGAGACGCACACATGCCTCGGCTCCCATAGCGCTTTGTGCCCACCGCAAGCCTGGCGTGTTTATAGTTGTGTCCGCTTGAATCTTGTTGGTAGCATGGTATTTGCGCCTGTAGCAGCTGAACGAGGCTCTGTTCCTCCCCAACCCCGTGTAGACACATTGGATATATCATCTTCATCCTCTCTCTTTCTCTTTGGCCCTCCACTGTCAAATGTAAGCACATGTTGATCATGGCTAAAGTCGGTTGGTACTCCTGTCTGCGCATCAGACTGCTCCTAACGTCCCGGTGGTCCAGGGGGATATCTGCCAGGTGGTCCTCCGGGAGGTCCTCCGGGCGGCATGCCCATACCACCTGGTGGTGGAAATGGCATACCTCCAGGTGGCGAGCCAGCATTACCCGGTGGCGGGAAGGGGAATGGCGGCATCCCTTGAGGTGGGCCACCTCCCATGTGGGGTGTTGGGAACGGGGGCATGTTTGGGGGCACACCACCAGGGCCTGGAGGCATACCGTTGGGCGGAGGGAAAGGCGGCATTCCGTTGGGGGGCATAGGTGCTACCATAGTTAGTCACAGGGCTCTGTATGTTCGGAGTGCGCTGACTTACGACCACCACGGCCCATGAACGGTGGGGGCATTCCAGCCATGGGTGGCATTCCTGGGTCATGTGAGCATCTTGATCCTCTACTTCAGGGTTGTGTAAAACGTACCTGGCGGTGGGAAGCCGGGCATACCCATCGGAGGCATACCAGGCATACCGCCCATTGGGCCCCCAGGAAATCCTCCGTTTAGATTTTGTTGGAACAGAGGATTTGCCTGGCCTTCTGTGTTGTATGCATCGGTGATACTGTTGATGACTTGCTGTGTCTGGTCGCTCGAGATCTGCTCGTAGTATGCCTGAACGTTACGGAGGTGGTTGCGGCCGTTATTGTGCGCCTTGCGCACGCTCATACTATCGTGAGTGAGGTAGACATCGCAGTAATCGCAGAAGAACTTGGGCATCGTGACTTCGCAATCGATTTGGTCGTTATGTGTGGAGCGCCTGGATTCGCGGATTGAGTTGTCGAGTTGCGCGCCGGGTGGTGAGCGCGTCGCAAGAGCTGGACTGGAAGAATCTCAAGCTAGTCGGCACCACTTTCGCCGACAGTCTTGGCGCTGCCTTCACACTACCGTATGGAACCAGTCGGTAAAGCACTTGACTGCAATAAGAATTATCCATTGGAATTAAAGCTTTGTACTATCATTTCTGATATTTCTTTTGTATTGCTATCAACATCTTGCTGACTGCCTCCGTCTTTGTGTATTGTCTCACGTGACTTGTCAGGACGAAATGGACTTGTACCTGTAGCGAGGCGGCTCTTGTCAAGTAGACATGGCTTGTTGAGAAAGAGGCGTATATATATACGCGTATTTGTGCCAGGGTTGAGTCAATGGAGGCTACTAGTCACGCCGTTGACTAGCATACTATTGTGATAGTATTGCACTACACTCGACGAAAAAGGATGAATGAGCTTTTTTCATTCCTCCAAATTCTTTAGAATTTCTTCATTCCAGATCACGGTGATAGCTGCGTACGCTTAATGTACTAAGCACGTCCCTTTTCGATAAGTGGCTGTTTGGATGACGAATTATACTAAATTAACCTATGGCTTGTGGTCAGCTTGAATGTAGGTTTTAATTTTTCCTCTACAGCCCTCCTACCTTGTACTAGATTTTCGCTTTGTCTCTTAAATTCCTTGTCTATTCCATCATCTCAGAAGTGCCAGTAGCGAAGTCTTGAATACTTGAAGTCTATAGCGCATATATAAAACCTGTACCAGAATCTACGAGACATATTGTTTTTCCAAGCATCATCATCAAGACTTCATTCGGGCCTACCTTGGCGTCTATAATAACTTGTCTTACATGCAGTATAGAGTGGGTCAATACTTATTTAAGATGAAATATTTTCATTAGAAGATATGGTAGCGATTGGCGGTGAGCAATAACATTGGTTAAATGAGTAGTTAGTACGAATGTAAGCTTTGGTTATTTTGCATCATCGTTTCACCTTTCCGTTTATAGGGTGAGGATGATCCAATAATGTGTATCTTGAATTCTATTTCTTTCTAAACGAAGCGATGCATGTACACTTATACGTGTAGGGGCTTACACAATATTGCCTTTGCATCATGATTTATAACGGACATTTGGCTCTGTTCTTGAAGTCGAATTTGTAGAGTAATAGTAACGTTAAGTCGGCCCGTGTGGTCTTAGACGCCCATGTCCTTGTTATACGAATTCAAGTGCAGCGGGATTATTCTTGATACTTGAATTCCAAATATTCGACTTTCAGATCAAATATAGGAAGAGAGAACTCTTGCGAGGAAGGATTCATGGCTTGGTTGGTATACTGTCTCAAAATCAGCGGGAATTGCCAGTCCTCATTTGTTGTTGCAAACTAGCTGGTACGTAACACGGTAAATAGCAGCCCATCACTGCCAAGCGGTGCTTTACGAGTTGATCCACAATAAGTAAGCACAATGAGTCGCGGCTATGTTGGAATTCAGGTCATCTCATGAGGTATTTAAGGGAATGGGGGTTCTGTTGATTCCGCCTAAAAAGCATCAGAGAAATCGCCATTCATACCACGACAAACAAAGACATTGAATTTGAACCAGCCCTCACTACAATCACGCTTCAATATGAAATACATATTGGTGCTCGCGGCAATGCTACCAGCCGCCTTTGCAAACTGCAAACCAAACAATACCTCCTTACTGGGTGATTGCGTGGGGTGGTGTTCGGACAGAAACTCGACCCCGAGCACGATCCAATCATGCCTCTTGGCGAATTGCAACACTTGCAAATTAGGTGGTAAATAATTTTGGTAAGTGCATGGAACACTGGCGATGACGTGTGCTAACCATTGATGCACGTGTAGAAGTTGCAATGCCAATGGCTGACGTTGATGAACGATATATTTGGAGAGGAGACGTTTGCGGGGATGGGAGGGTTGTTTGAATAAGGGGGATGAGGCAACATGTTGGAGGGCTATATGCCAACTGATGGAACGGAGATTGTGGAGGTAGGAAGTAGGAACATCAATGCATTCAAATGTATACATACCCCCAAAACAGCACCGGGCATTGTGTGAAGACCAGAAAAGTCTCAGTACGTACACCAATGCGAGTTTCCAACTCATTGAAGCACATTGGGACGTCGTACTGGCGTTGGAGAGTAGTGTTTGAATGACAACGCCATGCGGAGGTTGATCAAGGTATGATGTTCTTTCCTTTTCTATAAAACCGGAGTCGTAGTACAAGCATGATAGCGTGAAGGTCACAAGTGGAAGATTTTTGGTATCGTGTCACAGGTATTGTACAGTTGGTTGGAGAGGAGCCGTCATGATGGCCGCTTGGCCGGGGCAGGAGTCCAGCCTTGTGGTTGCCAATCCTGGCTCTGTGCAGCTTGTCTCCACGGCGAGTCGGCTGGCTCTTTGGCCTTTGCCTTTTTAGGTCTTGGTGCCGCTGTGTCTTGTATGTCTTGTTTGTCATTTACGGGGGAGGGGGCGGTGGTAGGATGCTGCGATTGCAACGGCAGCACGGGCTGTTGTTTATCCGGGGCATCGAGGGCCGAGGGTTTGGCAGCCCATTTGGCATCGGCTTGGGCTGCTAGAAGTTTGATGCGCTCCTGTCGCGCCACGTCTTGCTGCTGTTCGGCAATCGTTGGCGGGTCGAAGCGCGTGTGTCGTAGCCATTGCATCCATGAGGCTGATGAGGCGGTCAGTCAGCCAGTCAGTCAGAGCAGGTTGGGCAGAGGCAGGTGAAGGGCAACCAACGCGATATTTGCACGTCGCCATAGTGCGTGCTGCGGCTATACTTTGCAATTCTCCTATTGCGCAGCGAGTGCAGGGCGTCCTTGAACTCCCAAAACGTGTTTCCGTGGAGATCAAAACCTGTATTGATGTCGTGTCAAAGCAAAGCAAAGGTAGAAGCAGGGATAGGCTTGGGCGAGGCACACTCACCAACCAGCCACTTTTTGCGCCATGGAAACCGCTGCATCTTCCACTGATACCATGCTCGCCTTATGGGGCCTGGGGCGCCCGCCATTGTGGTATTTGTGTACTTGCTTGACTAAGGGGGGGAATTGGTTGGCGGCGGATGGATGGATGAATGAATGGCGTACAGGATATGTGGATGTGTGACATGCACAACATAAAATGCAATACCAAAAACCGGTGACGTTGACACGGGTGGCGGGTGGCTGGTGCGCCCGCCCGCGCCTTCCTTGTGTCCCCACCCATACCACCAACACAACACACACATCTTCTCCACCCATGCACTTATGCCAACGCTCAAGTGCTGACTGGCTGACTGGCTGATATATGCAATTCTTCATATCAATCCTCTCTCTCCCTCCTATTCCCCAAACACCATATATACGGCAGACCTGCTGTCGCCTAGATAGATAGCTACATAGTGCATCTATTCCATCCTGCCTGACGAGTTACTTCTTCCCCTCTACCGCCCGCTGCCTTGCGTGCCCAACCACCACCGCCAAACCCCCCTACACCCAACCCTTGATTTGCGCCCGACTCGCCCGTCATGGCGTCTGTAACCTCGCTGGACCAGGACATGCGCAAACTGCGCATGGACAGGTACACCCCCAAAGCAGCAAACGAAGTGCGCATATGGATTGAAGACACATTGGGCGAGCGACTGCCGCCCGGCGATCTGCTTGATGCCCTCAAGGACGGGACCGTTTTATGCAGGTGAGCCGGCCTTAGAGGAAAGCAACCAAACGGCCGGATCCCGAAAGCTGACTGCAGCAGACTCGTCAACTTGGCTACACCCGGCGCTGTCAGGTTCAAGAAGAGCCAGATGCCTTTCATTCAGATGGAGAACATCTCCCATTTCCTCCGCGCATGCGAACAGCCCCCACTAAGCATGCCCGCCCACGACCGCTTCCTCACCGTCGACCTCTACGAAGCAAAAGACCCGGCCCAGGTCTTGCAGTGCCTCAGCGCCTTTAGCCGCGTAGCTAACGCCCACAACCCCTCCCAGTTTCCCACCGTCATAGGCCCCAAGCGTGCCGCCCCTGGCCCTCTTAGCCCCTCTTCTACTGGAGGCGCTGGTCCCAAAAGTCCCGCCCTCACATCGCCTGGCTATGGCCGAAGCAGAGGACCAAGCACAGCCAGCAACACCAGCGGCTCCAGCACTTTCAACCCCCTCGCCCGTCCCACCACAGAAAGGGCCCTTAGTGCCGCCCGTACCGGAGGCTCTGATACCTCACATGCCTCGAATGGCCTCCCCAAGTCGCCGCCTGGCGGGGTGAGCAGCTGGAGCAAAAAGGTCGATGAGGGCAGCACAGCACCCGCATGGAATATTCATCAGTATGGCTACATGGGCGGAGCCAGTCAAGGAAATCAGGGCATCGCGTTCGGTGCTCGCCGCCAAATCACCAGCGCCGGCCCCCATGTGCCCAACATGGCAGAGAAGGAGCGCCTGCGACGAGAAAAGGCTGCCGAAGAAGAGCGACTGCGCCAACAGGCCGAGGAAGCTGAGCACAAACGTCGCATCGAACGTGAAGCAGAAGAGGAGCGTATCCGCATTGAAGAGGAGCAAAAGTGGGAAGAAGAATCGCGCAAGCAACAAGAGGCTAAGCAGGCCCGCCTCGACCAGCAAAAGCGTGAGTGGGAAGAGCAGGAGCGGCAATGGCAGCTTGAGGAGGAGCAGCGCCAGCGCGAGGAGCGTGAGGCCATGGAGAAGATTGAGGCCGAGACTCGACGGAAGCGTGCAGGCAGCGATGCTAGGCTCCGGGGACAGTTTCTCAGCCAGTACCAGGCCGAACAAGCCAGCAAACCGCGCAGTCGCCGGGGAAGCAGCGAGGAGCCGAATGCCGAACGCGAGCGCATACGAGAACTTGAGCGCCAGCTTGAGGAAGCCAAGGAGAGGGAACGACAGTATCAAGCTGAGCGTGAGGGTCGTCTGCAGGACAAGAAAGCGCGCGCTCGTTCAAAGAGTCGTGCACGCGACCGATCCCGGAGTCGCCCCAGGCCACAGCCCCCGCCACGCGCCCCCTCACCTCAAGACAGCAATGCTTCCTGGGCACATGCAGATGACCGCGAGTACCTGCGCAAGCAATGGGACCAAACACAAACCCAGTCACCACGACCTTTACCAGAACCTACTCCTGCTGCCCCTTCTCTCCCAACCCGCCCACTGCCAGAACCATCCGCTCGACCCCTTCCCGACCCTTCAACATATACCAAACAAAACCGAACTGAACGTTACCTAGCCTCCAACCCACCACCAGCACCTCCAAAGCCCCAGACCCACATTCCACCGGAGCTCACTTCTACCTCAGAGCAACGAGCCGAAGACGCCCGCCGGGCTGCGGCTCAAACCAAAACAAAGGCTCTTGGATGGGCTTCCAAGTCACTCCTCGAGCGTGAGATGGAGCGTGAGCGCGAACGCCAAAAAGAATGGGAAGAGTCTCAGCGCGCGCTGCAAGAAGCTTCCAAAGATCCCAACGCGGGAAGTGGTTCCGGGCAGAGTTGGGACGTCAACCAATACGGATATATGGGCGGTGATAATCAGAATAAGCTTGGTGGTATTGGCGCGGGAAAGAGACAGATTATTGGACCTAGGCCATTTGGGCCTCGTTAGGGAGTTGAGTAATCGTAGGTAGAAAATAATATTCAGACTCAAAGAGCAGATTACTCGATTGCGTATCATGGTGATGACAAGGGACTTGGGGTAGTGTGACTAGCCATGAGGATAAAGAGCAAAGTGAAGGTGAAGGTGATTCATCTAAGTTTGTGCGCGCAAACTTTGGACAACAAACGCATGTCTTGCCTTACTTTGGGATTGTCTAACTCCACGAACAATAGTCATCAGTAACCACACCATGTCGGATAACAGCGAGCCAGCGACAGCCGGAGAAATCAACAAGCAGATGACCACTGCTACGCTCTCCTCCAACATCACCAAATCTCTTCCTCAACCCGCCCGGTACCGAAAATTATGTGCTGCTACTCCACGATCGGTTCCTGGAACGACGCAATCGCTTGCGCAATTCGAAGTTAGACTCTCCGTTATCACATCGGCCAGTGCCGCTAAAGATCTCATCAACACGATGCGCATCCTCATGCAACAAGGAAGCCGCCGAAGACAATTGGTCGAGCCACGCCGACAAAAGGTCCGGGATTTGGTTAATGGAATGGAACATGTGGAGATACAGAAGCTGTACGAGGAATTTGCGAGAGTACATAACGAAAGAGAGAACAGGTCGACATTCAGACTACCGCTCTTGGATCGTGCCCAAGAGAACGGAGACGATCCGGTGAACCAGGACACTACCGATACAACATACAGGCTTGAGATGGAAGTAGCTAACAACCTGAACAACGAGATAAGCAACAACGGTTTGGGACATACCGAGATAGTGGAAGTAGCGGAGCATACCTCGAGGACCATTGCACAAGTGTTGAGTTCTCCTGACACCATGACATCTCGCGGTGCAACAAAAGGATCCTCGCCGCTCCCAGCGCCTTCACCACCGTTGGATTCATCATCCACTCTCGAGCCAAGCGACACTACTTACGACGAGGAAGTCCATGGTGCTTGCATAGTAGTCCCAATTCAGAACCCCAGAGACTTCCCTTTGAGACGTATACAAAAGGTCCAAGCCGACTACTACCCCTCAACACTCATGACTGCCATGTGGGTGCACCGTAACCAGTCCAACGAAATCACCCAGGTAACCGGCGATCTCGACAAAGGACCTGTTAACCATATCATAATTCATAATCAGCGCATCATTGAATCTCTCGGTCTTGGTGAGCCACCATTCGACATCATAACTCTACAACCCCCAAGCCGTGTAGACGAGACATACGACATACGTATCCTTCCAGGCCAAAACCCTGAAGATCTTGATTCCTGGGTTGTTGGCGAGCTCGTATTCGCTCGACACGCGTACCTGTATTGGCTTGATGGCAGACAATGCTCGGATCCAAAAACACCGCCTACTGTTGCTGAAGCGAGGGCTATAGCTACAAAGACGGGCAGAAGGGCATTGGACGTCAAGATGGAGATTGATGCGTATTGGAGGATGGAGTGCGGGACTGGAGGAAACAAAGTTAGAGAGAAGCGAGTAGTGTATCTGGGCGAGGATCAGAATATCCTGACGGTGCCGAGGTGAGACACTTCGGAAATCAGTGGTGGTAGGAAGTGATGGTATTGTTAAGAAAGGGGGTCTGGCTGCACAATGTCTCACTGGTTTCTCATTCAACAGTGTTGCTTACATGAGTCTACTTTATCAATAATTCAGATTACTGGGAATGAATTAAATCGACTAGATTACATTGCTGATGTCCGTGACAAGAAACAAAATTGTATAAGTATCAACCCCGTAAAACTAACTCAATGTCAAAACATGGCTACTAAGACTCCGCCACTCGCTCCACCTGACTCGGCTACGATCCCGGTGCCTGAGTCGAACTGCCAATACGCCCTGAAATATACATACTACGAAATATATCGCCATCGTAGTCCGACCCATCGCTCTCATACCCAGCACTACCACCAGCATCCACTTCACCAGCAACACCAACAAGCTCCTCCTCATCCCTCTCCACCAACGGAATGACCGGCGCCGCCATAGCACGATACTCACGCACCACCTTCCCCTCCTCCTCCCCATCCTCGCTCCCACCCACCCCAACACCATCCAACCCCATCGGTTCATACGGCACCCTAACCCCCACCCTCGGCCACTCCCTGCCCATAACCCCATACTGATCCACCACACGCCCCTCATACACCTTCCTCGCCCCCTCCGGCACCAAAAACTCGCCCTCGGGCCCCTCAATCTCGAGAATTGGGTGCAAAACCGGACTCCGCGGGCGCACCACAGCCGCGGATTCCACAATCCAGCAGTCGTCGGGTGCGTGGCTCCACCACGCTCTGCATCGCTCTGGCTCGTGCGTGCAGCGCCGCTGCGCTGCTTGGTCGATTGGACTCACTTCGTCGTTGGGGAAGGGCGCGGGGATGCTGGTGGGGGCTGGCCGGGAGATCGGGGTGTGGGGTGGTGAGTCGACGGGGGAGGAGGGGGAGAGTAGGTGGGCGACGTGGTATTCGCGGCGTCCGGGGGTTTCTTCGGTCCAGGGAGTTGAGAGGAGGGGCGTGGAGAAGGTGAGGGGACGGTTGCAAGGGGCGTGTTTGGTGCGTTTGGGGGGTGGGGGGTTGAAGAATTCGGAGCGTGGGTAGAGGTAGTCTAGGTGTACGGTTCGTTTGCGCTTCTTGGGGACTGAGCGGTTGGGTTCTGGGGCGGTGGATGCGCATTGTTCTTGTTCTTTGCTGGGTTCTTCGAGGGTCTGAGATGCTTCGGGTTGATCCTCGGGTTGATCCTCGGGCTGCTCCTCGGGCTGCTCCTCGTCATTGGTGTCGAGGTCGTCTTCGGGCGGCTCTGGTTCTATTGTCTCCCGTTCGTCGCTGACGGTGAAGTTTGCGTAGATGCCACTTTTCACCGGTCCAAGTAGATCGTATGATGTACGCCAGTCGTACGAGGACTCTAATGCGGAAATGAAGACACCGTCTAGTACTTGGATGTCCCAGAATCTATCCTGGAGTTTCACGTCATCTAGCGTTTTCTTGAGGTGCAAGCTTGCAGTCGTAGGCCTCAAGTCCCCCAGCTCACTCCTGTAGAGCGCTTGCTCCTGCTGCCTTCTTTCCATGTGTGTTCGGTACGGAAAGCCTTCCTTGCCTCTCTCTGGAATTTCCGCCTCTTCGATACGCTGCCACTTCTGACGAATATTGTCTATATCCAGCACGAGATCGGTAGCTTCAACTGACATATTTTTTGTGGCTTTGAATCCGACCGGCATCCGTCGACATGCTGGTGTCCATAGATGCAACTCGTTAAACCGAATTGGCCTGGGCTCTTGATCTGATCCCCTTTCATTAACCTCATTACCATCCCAATCCAAAAATCCATTGCGATGACGCGGCCCGCCTATTTTGGCTTTGTCAAATGCATCTAGTATGTCCTGGCGACCCTCCGGTTTCATTTGCCCACTGTTGGAATTCACACTGTCAAGGTGCCAACCACGTGTCTCCTTCATTTTGATTTTAGAGTATCTGTTTTGTCGATGCAAATGGTTTTGAAAGTAGAGAAAGTCTTCGAGGAGCGATTGAGTGCGGGTGAAATCATCATGCTCTTTTGTGCGGTATTTGCGCGTGACCCTTTTGTTTTCCTTATTCTCTTGCCAAACACCCAATGCCTTCGTGTCGCCTTTTTTCAACAACTCGGTTTTCTGTCTTATCAAATCTGGAAGTGCACGGCGGGTTTTTACTTGATCGTCCCGGTGTTTTTTTAACTCTTCCTTTAGCGATTCGAGAGTAGTTTCTTTACTGAGAATTGTTGCTCGTGGATAGCCTTCCCCTCTTATCATCTTTCGCGCTTCTTCAAGCTCTCTGTCTTTTTTTGTTTGCCGTCTTGATGACATGGTGTGAATATCAACTCCTTTTCGGAGTTCGTCACAGAATGTGATGGTTTTGGAAAGATGATGAAACAGAAATGGACAAAATTATCGATTGTACGTATTAGGACGCAATGTCCACAACCAAAGTTGGAATATCTGCACATCCACAACATTGCTCAGATGAGGGGTCTGTATATGTATCACGTACAAAAAATGGTTTATTCGACAATTGGGAAAACAAAGAACACCTGCAATGAGAAGAGCACGCGCCAACAACACCAATAACAAAGCCGTTGTACAATCGCCGGATTAGTACTACTACTATCGAAAAACCCCCATTAAGCACAAAAAACAAAGCCCTCGAAACAACCTATCATTCTTGGCGAGATAGCCCAATCCATGCAACACCCATACCAGATCCAGCACGCACCGCCTATCCTCTTCTACGCAACTGTTTCTTCCAATCCCACTCCTTCTTCGGCTCCTCTTCCAGCTCCTCTCCTTCGTTGTGTGGCAATCTCTTTTCCCCAGCCTCCTTGCGTGCCTTTTCTTGTTGCGCGCGAAAGCGCTGCTCTTGTTCGTACCACGTAAGTCGACTGTTTGGGATGCTCTCGTCGAGAGGGTCCCAGTCCGAGCTAGTAAACCTACCGATTTTGCGAATTCCGTGGTGCAATCCAAGGGGCTTAGGCTTGACCTCGGCTTGACCCTTGCCCTTAGATATGCTCTTGCCCTTGCTCGTGGATGTAGCTATGCTCATGGATATAGCTACGCTCTTAGGTGGTGCTTTGCTTATTTCCTCGACCTCGGGATCTTCGACGCTCTCCTCGATGTCTTCGCCGTCAACTGCATCGTCTCCATTATCATCTCCAGAGTCGGACCCGTCGCTGTCAGAGCTGTCGTCGTCGTCTCCTGGATTTGCGCCTGGCGCCACAAAGGGTTGATGGGCGGCTGAAGCCGAAGGGTCTTGTGATTCTGTATCTTGGGGGTTTCCAACGTCCATGTTCTTTTTATTTTGTGGAGGCTTGCGAGTGGATGCTTGACGGGATCTTGGCTTGGTTGCAGCTGGCTTGGTTGTAGCTGGCTTCTTTACCTGCTTGGACTTCTCTTGTACTCTAATCGCTTTGGAACCTGTCTTAGAAACTCCTTTAGTGCCTGCGACACCTCCAGGTGCGCGTTTGTCATTGGATTTTCCACTGTCTGAGGATGAGACATGGTCGTCATCCCCGGATGAAACCTTTGCACGCTTGAGTTTTCTTGTCTCCATGTCATCCTCGTTTTTTCGTTTAGGAACAGGAGGGTTGAGTTTGTTCCCTTTGATCAAGCGATCTACTAGAGCATGCTGCGCATCAATATCGGCGGAACTCGCGATGTATCCTTCTGGAAGATCACGGATCCTTGTTTGGTTTACCCGATCGTACTCCAGAAAGATGTCCACCAATTGATCCTGATTCCACCTGTTAAAGTTCTTGAACCCAGCTCTCTTTGCCATAGGCCTCAGGACGCCGTTCATGCTCAGTTTCTTGTAAGCGTTTTTCTCTGGGTCTTCGTCTTGTTGTTTGGGCGCCATGGCGATGGAGTATTCCAATGTAGGTTTGAGTGAATGCTCGATGATACGAATGCCTGGATAGTCGAGAGTTCGGGAAAACGATCATGAGCTCAATATCAGTTGGAATATGATGCTATGAAGCTTACAGGCAATTAAGATATGGTTATAATATAGCACAGAGAAAGCAAAATTTCCGTGGTACATGATTCATTTCATCACTGGGAGCTCAGAGTGAAAGGCGTTGATTGTAAACAATGCACCTTTTAGGCAGAAGCACTCATACCAAAAAGCTAGATGAGTGAAAGACAATGACCTGTGCACAACGGCTTAGTTGAGTCTAACAGGCCAAAGATACGCCATTGTGGGGAACAGAACGATGCCTTTCAATTCAAATACATGTACGAGATGTTTTCAGAAGACTCGATGTGACTGCCTTTCCATGATTGTGTAGTCAAATAGCTAGAAATGCAAGAAAGCAAAAGTATATCGCTTCCTGTATGTTGCTTTAACGTGGAAACAATAGACGGGGGGTGTAAAGTCCGTCAACGCACCGTATTGACTGTGGAAATGAACCTTGAGATCCACAGTTTACACTATGATGAGTTTGAAAGTTGTCTTTGCGTGGTTGACTGGACACGAGCGTGAATTCTACTTGCTAATCACCAATTATCACTCAGTTCACCTGCTTGGTGAGGATGAAGTAACCCCTTTCGGCAATACACCGCAGATGTATTCACTCTACCGGTGGTTTCGTCTATAACGCCTGGGTAAAATTTGAAGGGCTTTGCTTCTATCTGCATATATTGAATAACGTACTCAACAGTAGCTGCTACATCTGCGTATCATCCAGTATGGCGCTGCTCAGCCAAAATCTCTTCGAAATGGATAACAACAACGACAAAAGCGAACCTTTTGACGATGCATGCAAAACCAAGGTCATTCGTCACACAGCTGGTGCTTTTCACATCTCAGGTTGGAATCCCATCAATGAGACCTCTGGGAAATCGGTCAAGGATTGGGCCCATGGGAAGTCCGATCTGAAGTACAGTCCTCACAACGCCCTTGATGACGAACCAATCGATCCAGACTTTGACGAAAAGTACTTTGACCACTACGGCTACTTCAACTATATCAACAGTGCACACGAGGTACCTATCTTCTCAAACAACAAAA